TCTAGGACTGGGGGACGTGGGTGCCCCCTTTTAAACAGGAGGGGAGCTCAGTGTGATCCCAGTGTCAGGCTGGAGAATCTGAGCTGCATTGCCAGCTTGCGGTCCAATCTCTACCAGCTTTAAAAGTTCCGCCTCCTCGCTGGAGTACACAGTGGTGTCCGTGTCATCGGAGTGATACCCCGACTGGTAGCCGCTCGTCTGGTTTGAGCCTTCAGATGCCACAGACTCCTTGCTTTTGCTGGGCATCATTCCACTGCAGAAGAGATGGCAACCAAATGAGTCGGCAGAGAGAAGGGAGTTCTTTTGCATCTTATCCTAACCCCGTTCCCAACCCCGTGTGGGCTGGCATCTTCCTGGAGACACCAGTCCCTCTCCCTCCCCCTTGTTCATCAACATAGCAGCCTCACTCAGACAATGTCTATTTTCAGGTACTCGCGTGAATCTGGAGTTTCAGATAAGTCGTCTTATTCAGGTCCAAGTCTTTCAAGCCTGAGATGAGATAAAAGGCAGTTCTCCTGAGTTATGTGAAGGCTCCAACCAGTGGAACCTTTTTATGGCCTTGCAGATTGACAAGTTTGTATACAAGGATAGGAGCCAAAGGGACTCTTTCAGGATGTGGAGTGAAACTGGGATGCTCTGAAAGTCCACTAGTGCTTGCACCACACTGTCAAGTAAGGGATTACAAGGCCCGTGGGTGGTGTTAATAAAGTTCTTGTGCAACTTTCAACTTTAGTAAGTCGAAGTGTGTGTGTGTAATCAAGCCAGACATGTCAAAAAGTGCTTTTTACTCATCAAAACCACATTCTTTGGAAGGACGGTGGAATCGTGACAGACGGTAATCATGTCCAAGCTTAGAAAAAAAGCTTAAAAAGGCTTTCTGTAGCTTGGTGTAGGCTGTGTGGAGCTTAAGCCATTCTGAAAGTGTGGGTTTTTTTGCCCCCTTAGTAGGTGTTTTACCAAGCTATTCATGTTAAAAACTGCAAAAAAAGGATTTGATTAACTCCGTGTTCATATATGGTTTAAAAGTTATTTCAAATGACTAGATATCCATTTTTTCTTTCAATCCAACCTCAGTAAAATGAGCTTAGTGTCTCAGACAATGGCATGGTACCTATTCATTGCTGAACAAATATATTTGAATCAGTGAATGAAACATATGATCGGCTCTCACAGTCTCTCATCCTGGGCCTATGGCAGACAATGAAATGGCACAATGGCACATTTTAATGGGGTTTTTTTGTGTGTGTTTGTTTGTTTTACATGACCATCACTCGGTACCAAGGGTGGTCCCATTTCATCCAACAGTTCGATTATAAGTAGATCAAAGTCTTCTCTATTCTCACCTAGAGTGAACCTGCTAGCAAATAAATAACTACTCTGAATCCCAATATTCTTATAAATACAGAATCTTATTTATTTGTTAAGTTAAAAGCAGGTGTATCTACTCAAAACAGCTACGAATTCCTACAGAATCACATGGAAGAAATATTCAAAACCAAATTCAGCATTTTTCCCACAATTAAGTACTTAATAATTCAGCCAAAAATATTTAAGTATCTTAAGCAAATAGATAATGGCTTCTTTATACATTATATTTCATAAAGACAGGTGTACCCGTTGCTGTTCAAGTTTGAAAATTCTTCAGAGTAGAGTGCACAAAGATTTTAACTATCTCCACAGTTTTAAGGATCACATCCAATGATCTCTTTTTTACTTAGCCAGTACCACACAAACCACTGACCATAGTAAATATGCTCAAAAATCCCCTAGTATTCATAAACTCTCATGAAAACTGACCAAATCCTCTTAGTTCAGATTCTTTTTTAGACTTGCCAGGTAATTAGTTTGATTTGTTTCCATTCTTTATTAGTTAGGTTGATGCAAATTTGCCCAACCCACGAAGACACAAAAAGGGAAAACTCTGCACCTACACTCTAAGTCCTAGGTTCCTTCCAAAAGTTCCTGTTGAAATTTGTCCTTCTATTTCGGCTGAGCCTTACCTAAAAGATGGGGCTAATTTGCTTCTGTCTTCCAAGGTTTTCAGCTCTTCGGATGCAAGAACCATACCACTGTCCGTCTGGTTGTCCTTTTTAAGAGACAATGAGATGGCATAGTTGATGGTGTACACTGAACAATTACTTAATTAAACTGATTTCCTAACCCATCTATCGGACAACATTCCCACGTTCTGCAGAGGCAGGTAAGGGTATCATAGCCAGAAACCGTGCAGGCTATAAAAGGAAGTAACTGCTTCCAAGAAATAGATGCAGGCCTGGAAGAAGAGAGAAATTTAGGAAGAAGAAGCCGAGGAGACCCGTTTCTATCCCTCTTTCACAATGATGCTATGTTCGCTTGAGGGGAATTGGGCATGAAGCTGGATTGTCTTGAACCTTAGACCGGGGGCTTTGCTTATGGAAAAACCAAGGGGGCCCAATAAGTTCCATTGCTGTAATGACCCCATCACACATACCCTCAAGGACAGCCTTATAATGAGGCTTCAAGTCTCTAATGCTTAGGTTAATATTTATCTAGCTAATGTTTCACCTTTGGTATTATTTCTAAGACTATTTTTAAAAGATGTGCTTACATCTGGGATTACTTTTACTTCTGGTTCTTCCAACGGGATATCTTCAAATGTTTTTACACTGACAGGCCGGCTCTTTCGCTTACTGTTCTGCAGATACTGACTGCAAAAGAACAAATATTTATGTTTTAGTGGTGGTATATTTGGCTGCAGATTCCACAAGTGATACCTAAGTTCATTATCTTTCAACCGCAAGTTTAATAGCGACCTTCAAACATCCTTTGGAAAAAGAAAAACAAAACAAAAATCTTTCTCTGCTAGCACACACTGAAGGCTTAATTTCCTGTGAAAGCCCATTTAAAAGTATAATATAACTGAGGGGGCATAGATGAGCCCCTTTTCCTTTGAATCGTACTTCTGAGGTCCAGGGCTGGACTGAAGACAACAACAGCAGACTCAGTGGTCAGCTGCCTTCTGCTTGGCCTCCTGATTGCCTGTGATTCCTCCACTGAGCTCTCGGCATATTACTGAGTGTTTCACATCTTTCTGGCCATCTCCTAAGCAAGTTTTCTAGACAAGGCCCACAGAACAACCAGTCAATGAAAGATGGGCAGAGGAAACACCTGCAGATCTCACTGAATCTCACCCGGCTCCAGTAAAGGATGCTGAACCCAGCAAGGTCTGGAGACAATCTTCTTCTACATGTAATAGAGGTGTAATGGGTACAGGGGCAGGTGGGCTGAATCTCCTATTGTTAGCCCACAGAGTTGGGGGTGTAGTTCGAGAGTCACAAGGTATTCTATCTATTTCAAAATCTACCACGAACTACACAGACTTGGGAAAGTCACAAATATATTTCTGTGCCCCTATTGCTCCATCTTTAAAATGTACTGGCAAGAGCTTTCCTTTCCTCACTCACAAAGATACCTGGAGGATGAATGAGGTGATCACTGGTGGTTGATAAGGGGGTCTTAGAAAGAATGATGCACCATCAACCAAAGCTTGTTTTCCTCCTTTGAATTCCAAAGGGTACACGTTTCTTTCAGGAGTCCAAAGGATAGGACTTGTCACATCACAACAACACATCACCTGTTCCCTAAGGGTGTTCCTTCCCTACTATGTGACTTTGGGTGAGTCTGATTTTCTGTTAAAACCAGACCAAGTGGAGAGAAGGAAAGTCCTTTTCATGGGAAGGGACAGCAAATTCACTCTTCACTCTTATCCCAGCATACTTCCCACTTTAGACGGCCTTCTGGATATATTATATATTCTGTGTGTTTTCTGTGATCAAGTGAAGAGAGGACTCATTTGGGCAAAGAAGGATAATGGAAACTAAATCTCCGTCCCCTGCCCCAGGAGGCTGGTTCCTCCTCTTACAAAGAAGAGAGAATGGGGTTCACCAATGACGTCCTTACTCAGGAAACTCCACAGGAGAGAGGACATGACATAAAGGAGAGAGAAAAGCCTACTTCTCCTAAGTCCAGTCCCTAAAAGTGGTGGTTACCAAAAATTACTGGTACCATAGTCATTCATTCATGCATTCACTCATTCCGGAATCCTTTACTGAGACTCTCCCACGTGCCAGGCTCTGTGCTAAATGCTCCTCAACCACTGTCTCACGGCTTCTCCACAAATGGTACCTCTCTAGGTGGGTATCATTATCCCAACTTCAGATGAGGAACTAAGACACGGAAAGGTTAAGGAACTTGTCCAGAATCACATAACTGGAATATCTGGATTATTATCTTGAGGGCAATGAGCAGTCACTGAAGGATTCTAAGCATGAGATTGACAAAGTCAGATACGCCCTTTAGAAAGATGACTCTGGGTTGAGGAGGGTAAGACCAGAGGCCATGAGGCCAATCGGGAGGCTGTTCCAATTATCTAGGAGAAAGAAGAGCAGCCTGACTAAAGAAAGGTGATGCCCACATGGTCTGTGGACAGATTCCAGAGGTATTTGGGCTGTAATGCTGCTGCCTTAGAAAGGCCAGCTCCTTGCTTGCTGAGCCCAATAATAATAAACATGGCTCAGCCCTTCACAGTTGACAAGGCATTTTCATGGACATCACTGCATCTGCTCTTCACAAAACTACAAAATAGGTTTTCATTATTTCCTATTTGGAAATGAGGAAGCTTAGGGAGGAAACAGCTAGAACTGGGGCTCAAACTTAGGTTTCTAGAGCCCATGCAGGGTTGTTTCTGTTTGTTTTTACCTTATTCCACATTGACGCCCTTGGAAAAGCACTAGGAAGGAGAAGGAAGAAGACAGTAGTGAAGTAAAGATTGTCCAAGGCTTTACTGGGCACCCAGTATGCACACAGCCCTGCTCTCTCCCATGTGTGCACTGACCATGCGGTGGGGCAGGGGTGGGGGGTGGGGGAGGGGGGATAGGGAGGGTGGGAGGGATGGAGATGCAAGAGGGAGGGGATATGGGGATATATGTACATGTACAGCTGATTCACTTTGTTATATGGCAGAAACGAACACACCACTGTAAAGCAATTATACTCCAATAAAGATGTTAAAAAAAAAAAAGATAGATAAAAGGTGCAGAAAGGACAGTTTCATTTCAAGCAGTCTAACATCAGAGCCAAATTCAGGAAAATCTAGCCAGCAGGCTGTCCCAGGCATCAATCTACAAGGAGCATTTAAATCATTGCTAGCAATTAACGAAAATGAAAAAAAAAAAAAAGCTATGTGCCAGAACCTTTCCCTGGGAGAGAATTGAAAAGAAATCTTTGATAAGCTGCTTGGAGTGGGAGACGAAACTCCCAGGGGAATTGGTGGAGCAACCGCAGATGGTCCCCAAACTGTCCTCCAAGAACGATGAGTCCAATTAAGATGTGTTTTCTTGCAGGAAGCATGCAGACTTGGGGCCAGAGCTGATCCACAGGGGAAATTAGAGACAAACCTAAGTCTAGACACTAGTGGTCCTTCCTCCTCACCCTTCCCCCACATATCTCTCAGCCTCTTCTCTAAATAAATGCTGAACAAATATTTTAAAAATAGTTTAAAGGAGGTTGGCAAAAAATCAGGAGGTTGGCTCCCACGGGGATGTCTCTGTCCAGCTCTATTCATAATGCAATGAAATAGAAAATTATGAAGAAGCAAGTGAGAAAGACTCCTTGGCTCTTCTCCTTGACTGGCAACATGGAAGATAAGGGCACAAGTTCCTTGAGAGGCACCCCAGCCTCACTTCCTCTTCCCCAGGGAAGCAGAACACAAGAGAGCATCCAACTGAAATGTGCTGTGTGCAGATGCCTCGATTCTGCCTCTCCTTTAACCCAGACGATTAAAATGTGAGCGTGGTGCCTTAGTTTTAGTAAAGGCAAAAAGGTGGGGGGGGGGGGTCGAGTGGAGATGCAGACAAAAGATTCCAATTTCCATTTTAGTTTTCAAATTACAGCTGGATAAAAGGGAAACTGGACTGGAAAGACCAATTCAAAAATCACAGACAGAAAACAGGAGCCAGGCCTGTGTTGGGAGTGTGGTGTCACATTTGTCCACGCCTCTGGGGATACATGTTGGCAGCCCTGTTTCAGATCCAGCATCGCATTTGGCACTTCCATTACACATATGTGACTTCATTGACTCTCGGCACCACACGCAAAGCGCCTGAGTAAGCCAAGAGGCTGCCGGCTTGAGTCCTCGCCCCACCTGGTCACGGAAGAACCCAAGGAACACAGCTCACCATCAGATGGCTTTCTGATAACACAGAAGGCAACAGTGTTTCGGGAATAATTACCACACCAGAAGGCCAGCTGAACTTGAACAAGGACTTTTTAAACGTTGGGGTGCAACTACAGGTTTTCATTTCATTCCTCTTTCTCTTTGAGGCCCCCTCCTTGGTATGGGAGAAAACAGCCCTGAGTTAGATATCAGAGGAACTGGATTCATCCCATGTGATTTTAAGCAGCTCACTTAATTGCTATCGTTTATTGAGTGTTCTCTAGGTGCCAGGCACTTAGAAACTCATGATACCATGTAACTCTCAAAGTCATCATTTTTGTACAACACCAGTGTCCTTGCCTGGGTCACGGTGAAAATTTGCCCCAGGTCACAGCTGCGAAGGGCAGACTTGGGAATCCAACCCAGTTCCACGTGACTCTAAACTCTGGATCTTTAACCACAATATTGTATTCTCCCCAGGTAACTGCTCTGACACTCACGTTCAACATCTACATCAAAAGATAATAGTATCTACCTTGCCTAACTTTGGCAAAATCTGGTAAGAAAAAGTTCTTTGAAAAATGCTGAAAGTTCTTGACACAAATGGAATGGACAGCTTACGAGTTGGCTTCTTCCCACTCTGAGCTTTCTTCTCTCCCACGGCAGCGTTCCTGCTGCCCTCCCTGTGCGAGTCCACGGGGCAAACTGTCCTGCGTGACTCCCCACCTGCCATCTGGCAACCCGGCCAAAGGCTAGCACTCCGTGGTCCCCTCTGCGGCCACAGCACACTCAAGGGGGGCAGCCTGGGCTCATGCCGCCAGGGGTCTGGTTACAGGAGGAAAACACCCAAGACAAAGCAAAGTGAAGTAGTCACAGGCTTAGTAAAAGGCAATTTTAATGTCATATTGTAGAAACCATACCAACTCTTTCCTTATGCACAGGTGCTGGGAGGGAACAAAAAGAAAGCTGCCTTTAGGACCCCTCTACAAATCAGGAAAATACGGCAGTGCATGTGTTTTAAATAAGCCCAGAAGTCCCATTATGCAAATAAAATGCTGAAAATCAGACTTGGGATGGGCTTCTGAAGTTGTGCTGCCCAGTCAAACTCAGGACACATCCCCATGGCACACTGTATCCCAGCCAGAGAGGCAAAGGTCTGTTTTCATAAATGCATAGAACTCTTCCTTCCTGAATCTTTCCTAAGCCATATAACTCACATTAATAAAAGAGTACATGGGGATAATTTAAATACAGATGTCTTTGTAAAATTGGTCTCTTTTTCTGGAGATTAACAAACTGTGGCATTCCAGCTATTTGCAGCTGCAGGGCTTAGAATTCTGAAATGAAGAGCTTAGGCAGCAATGTGGACCACAGATGGAAAGAGACTCACCTACCCAGGCGCTCTTCAAGGAGGACCTCTCAGGGCAAAGGGTGAATGTGCAAGTGAAATGCAGCAACTTTATATGATGTCCTTCCTCCATCCCCTTCCCTAAGATGACCTTGAAGCTCCCTCCCCCAGGGGATGTTGACCTTAGACCGTACCTGATTCCTGCTGTGTTGTCATAATGGAATTTGGGGTCACACACTTCCTCTTCCTCCATACAGGAAACAGGTGAGGTAGGCAGAGAGAGTCCCGAATCCTCTTCCATGCTCAAAGTCTCTGATATGGGAAGAACAATGTAGTCTTTGCCATCCTGAAGCAATAAACACAGAGTGCTATTGTTATGGCTTCAGTCCTTCAAGAGCCTTTCTATGAAAAACAAAGGCCATTGGGGCTTCTTGTTTATGGGGAATGTGGTTTTCATATCTGAATGTAAAACTTTAAGACAACTTTAAAAATGGCTTGTCAAAAACAAAAGGGCACTCAAAAGCGATGTGTAGATGAAAGTATATTAAAGGATCTAACAAAAAACAAGATGAGTAAGGGGACCACAGAGCACTATGGCTACAATGAAGACAAAACGGGTTGTGGTTACAGATGGAACAACAGAACAGGCAGAGCTCCACAGAGCTGAGAAATCGTTTCTTCACATAGTCCTATCTACACGGGCTGGGTCCTTTAAAGGGCATGTCATCCAATTTTAGTGTCTATGCTTCAAGGCAATGGAAAAACTGATGACAGTCTAAAGAAAAGCAGTAAATGTTCAGGAAAATGGGTCTACTGAGAAAAGGTTGCAGAACTTAACATTATTTCATCAAGAGAAAGAAATAAAGGGCAATTTGATACAGCAATAAAGGGCAATTTGATACCTCTAAATGTTTGGAAGGTTTATCGATAAAAATAGATTTGACCCATTGTCCCCCACCTGTTCAAAAGAAAAGCAGGAGGAAATTGACTTCCATTCACTGTAGTAAGAGGTGTTGACTGGAGATTAAGTAACTTTCTAACAGTAAAGGCTACAAGTCTAAAATCCTCCAATGGAAGTTATGAGGGCCTGGGATTTTACAGAGGGAAAAAAAAACCCATCAATTTTGCAGGGTTCAGATGTGTTTTTGCTTGAAGAATGTATTTAAAATTCCTTGAAATTCTGTCCACTGTTGATATTCACTTGATCAACTAGGTTTTGGGTTTTTTTTTGTTTTTTAGTTTTGTTTGTTGTTTGTTTGCTTTTTTACTTTATAAGAGCCTCTGAAGACACCACAATATACATCAGTAAAAATAAAAGTGATCAGCTCCCAGGTTATGAATTAGGATCTCATCTGTCAAAAAGGTAATTATGACTTTTAGAAAAGCATTACTGCTCAGCTCTGGAAGAATATGGCTCCTTGGATTCAGTGGCTGAGAGGACAGTATGGTGGCCATGAGAAGGTCTAGGCAGCAGACGAGCCCTGGACACCTAAGTACTCTCTGTAGAAGCTTCTTGGATGGAGGTCACAAACCTGCTGAGCATTCGCTTGTAACAGATTTCCCAAATGTTCCACCAGCTCTGAAAACGTGGGTCTCTGATTGGGCTCCCCATGCCAGCAGTCAAGCATGGTCTGGTACCTAGAGAAGCAAAACACTGATGTCATTAACCGTCTCTTTCCTCCTGATCTGACGCTGACAATAAGCACTTGAATGAGTAAATATTTATAAAGAGTCCACCATGAGCCAAGATGCTAAAGAGGGATACGAAACTACGTAAAACACAGAACCCTACGCTTGGAGCATCAAGTGTGTATCGAAAAGGAAACATCATAAATCAACATCTAGTACAAACTGACTGGTTGGTATAGATAAAGTGCTGTCATTTCAAGAAGGATGACTCTGTGCTTAAGATTATCAAGGAGGACCTCAAGGGAGAAGTAAGACACAAACTGGGCCATGAAGGAGGTACCTATAATGGAAAGTCTTCTAGGCAGGGAGAATTTCTGTGAGCAAAGGAGGATAGAGAAATACTTGTAAAGTCTTACATTTCGGGTGTGGTATAATCAGGAGCTCTCATTCTAGTTCCTTCTTTCAATCTCCTACAAAATTCCTCATCAATCTTTACTCCAGGATATGGAGAAGCACCTAGAATAAAACAGGAATGGGGCATTATTATTTTTAACATCTTTATTGGAGTATAATTGCTTTACAATGTTGTGTTAGTTTCTGCTGTATCACAAAGTGAATCAGCTATACATATACGTATGTTTCCTTATCTCCTCCCTCTTGCACCTCCCTCCCACCCTCCCTATCCCATCCCTCTAGGTGGTCACAAAGCACCAAGCTGATCTCCCTGTGCTGTGCGGCTGCTTCCCACTAGCTTTCTATTTTACATTTGGTAGTGTGTATATGTCCATGCCACTCTCTCACTTCGTCCCAGCTCACCCTTCCCCCTCCCCGTGTCCTCAAGTCCACTCTACGTCAGCCTCTTTATTCCCGTCCTGAGGAATGGTGCCTTATTGATTTGATTTTCTCTTGCAGAAAGCCCTGAGCCCGATTCTTCAACACCTTCTTCACATATATATCTTTTGTTCCTTTCTTTCTTTCTTTGCTTTTTTAGGTTTTACAACCCAAAGCTTCCAAGTAAATTTCATCCGACAAAGGTGGAATACAGGAGAGGGAAAGGCGCACTGGGGTCACTGACTTTTATCATTTTATTTGGAGTATGGATGGAGAGACAAAGAGAAGGGACTTACCTAAGGAAAATATTTCCCAGAGCAGGACACCAAAAGACCACACGTCACTCTGAATTGTGTACACTCTGTCAAAAATTGTTTCCGGGGCCATCCATTTCAAAGGGAGGCGAGCCTACAGGGGTAGAAGACAAGGAATGAGAACCCTACTTATCAAATATCTGAAGGAAAAGCTTCCATTGTCCCTGGACACAGGTCCTGAGGCTTGCTGAGAGGAGTTTGAATTCTGCAACTTAACAGATCACCGGGTGCATCTCTGAAACTTACATCTCCTTTTCTGACATAATCAGGGTCTTTATAAATATCCCGGGCCAAGCCAAAGTCACAGATTTTAACCACATTCTTCTCCGACAAGAGGATGTTTCTCGCTGCCAGGTCCCTGTGGATACACTGCAAAAAGAATCGTGTGCATTAGGACTCAACATAACTGATCTCTTCCACATCTGTTGTGACCTCATGCTTTAAAAAAAAAAAAAAAAAAAAAAAAACCCACATCAGAAAACCAACTGATTAACAAGCACTGGGTTAAACATCTTTTATCAACTCTTCCGGAAGAAAAGTCTGTAAGTTTCATTGAGGCACACATCTGCTTATTCCATAAACAGCCCCAGACTCTGGAATTAAATAGTTATGTTATAGCATGCTGATGGAGTCATAAATAGACTTCTCTTGGACACAATTAAGAATGTGTTTCTGGTCACATCCACACATCCCTTTTGCCTGGCACCATATACGGTTAAAACGTGTTATTCTAAGGAGGCCCTAGAATGGGGTTTATTTTGAATGAATGCACGGAAATCAGAAACAAGGGGCTCTCCTTGGTTTGGTGCCCTTTGTTGGTTTCTCTATTCCATACGTAACCGAAGCTGGACAAGCTCTGAGAAACAATTCCCAGTGGGGCTCACCCTGTTTTCAAAGCACTGGCTTATCATGGAGGTCTGTGAAAGCACTCTCAGCCTCTCACTAGTCAAGGGGATTCTCTGGTACACGATAAAGGAAAAGCGAATTCTCCTTGGCTTTCCTTCTGTTCTTTTCTGTTCCTCAGTTTCTCTCTTCTCTGCATCCCCCTACCTTCATGTAACTTCCTACCCTAAGAAGCTTTAACTCCACCTGATAGATTTATAAGAGAACAAGAGTCTCAGGGAACATTGAGAAATGAATGAAAGGCTTAGATGAGAATTCTTATGTCAGTGGAGGAGTGATGTGTGAGCCAGGCATTACGGACCCCTTACACCTCACATCTGTAGAGCACTTTCCTCTGAACGAGGCACAGGAAATATAGCCAGTATTTTGTAATAATTGCAAATGGAGTGTAACGTTTAAAAATTCTATTAAAAAAATTTTTTTTTTAAAAGCACGTTGTCTGGCGTGATTGATCAAGACAGGAGACTCCAGAAAACACAGTCCTTCTTACTTTGCCCCGAACTGAAGAGCTTCCTTTATTAAGCAACCAGGTGGTATTCAAGAAATTCAGCTGGTAGATGCAAGGGAAGTAAAAGGATCCCCCTCCACCCCTCATTCCCTTCCCCGTCAAAGGAACCCTGACTAAATGGCAGGCTCTGGCCTTTAAAAAAATAATAAAATAAAATCAAAATCTTTAAGAAGGGCAAAGGGCCTTTCTCTTTGGAAAAATCCGCTAAGATCCCACTTCTCTCCCTACCCCTTGGAAGAGAGAAGACAAGAGCTCTTGGGCAGAAACCTCGGAGATCCTGAGGCTCTGAAAGCGGTGACAAGCTTTAAACTCCAGAAAAAGGCATGCGTGAGGGATTTCACTCTAATTGAGGAAAAAAACACAAAGTAAAAACTTTAAGTCTTTCTCCCGCAGGTAGGCTGCAGCAACTGCATTCTGTCAACTGGTCATTTTTCCTGATACTGAATCTGAATTTTTCTTGTTTAACGTAAAACCATCCCTTTTACCCTTTCCGAGGGGTGCCTCCCCGGTGTTTACAACCTTTGGAATGTTTGTAACTTGTCACGTATCCACCTCAGCCTTTGTTTGGCCTACTTTTCTAATTTTAGCTCTTTCAATCGCTCTCATCTGAAGCCTGTCCTTCCTGGTTTCTAATTATGCTACTACCAAATACTTTTTGATGGATGGTGATGAATATCAAAGAAATGAAAAACAGATTTGTGCCAAGATATCTGCAAGGCTCAGCCCCTCACCTCTTCTAGGCCATTACTCAAATGCACATTCCCCTAAAGCCTTCCGTGTCCCCTTGGTTTAAAATCAATGTACACAAACACAGAGGCATATGTCCACAGGAACATAACGCTCCTGTATACTCTATAACTCTTCCCTGCTGATTTTTCTCCACAGTACTTACTCCCATCTAGCCTATCAGGCATTTTACTTGTTTATATTGTTTGTTCCACCCACTAGAACATAATCTCCATGAAGGTGGAGAGTTTTGCCTATTTGCTCACACAGTGTCCTTAGCGCTCAGAAGACTGCCTGCATTTAGTAGGTATTTATCACATGAATTAATTTCGTGAACTCCTAACACCACTTTAATGAGCAGAAATGGGGCCTCCCCAGTAGAGCTCTCTTAACAGTGCTCCAGCAGTGGTGAATGAATTACAGTCCCAAACAAACACCAATGGCTGGCACTGGACACCTCATTTGCAAATCTGTGATGTGAAGAGATACTCTGTCTCACCTTCCGTGATGCCAAAAACTCCATGCCCTTAGCCACTTGGAAGCTGTAACAGATGAGATGCTCCAAGGTCAGGAAGTTCTTGTACACATCTTCAGAAACTGTCAGAAGATGCAGGAGGACAGAGATTGGTATTTCGGCCAGAAACTGTTTGTAAGTTTGATAGAGCAATCTTCATTTTAAAAATTGGGAGTTAAATTTCAGGAAACAGAAGCAGACAGAAAATGCTTCTATCTTCCGTAAGTATGCTGAATCCTGGTATATTATTAGCCTTCATCATACCCCTTAGCAAAAATATTGGGTTTTCCATTTTAGCCAAATTGGACGAACAAATCCAGGAGGCAAAATGGAGGAAAAACTGGCATAGGTAACAGGGGGGTAAAAGCAGGCTTTTATAAATTTGCTGTTTAAAGTGTTGTGTTTTTTTCATATACCCAGAGGGATAAACAATAGTTTTCATATCAAGAACTCTAAAAATAAAACAACAATATCCAGGGTCATTGAATCTTTTCTCTCCAGGTTTTGTCCCGGGACAAAGGCCAAAGGTCAAACCATAATCTACAATGGCTAACTAAAAATACCAGTAATATATTTACCTTTCTCACTTTTAAACTGAGAAAGGGCTGTAAACACATTAAATCTGGCCTGTGAGAATGCTTTTTTCCTTCAAGGATACGAATGAGAGAAGACAGGAACATCGAGAGGAAGATGAATTTACGTAAATTTGTGGTATTTACTTCTGGGCAACTAGTACAAAGAAACACTAAGACATTAATGAGCGTTTCAACATGATCTCTTAACTTTGGTCAGATAAGATAAGACATGGCTTCTTTCCTGAAGACAAATACCAGAGCAAATGAAAACTCAGCTGTAATAATAACCTTGTAAGTATTAAAAAGACTCCGAAACTTTTTCTCAATGACTTTCTATGTTCAGGGCTGGAGGGCTCCCCATGAATAATTAGTGAAACTCTTTCATTTTCCAGATGAAGAAATGGAGGCAAAATTCTGGACCAATGCCCCCTCTACTCGGACTGACTCCCTCAAGCCCTTGGGTTTCCAGCTCTCTGGCCACCATTTTGTGAGAGAGAGGACAGGGCAGAAGTGGCTCCACTCAGTGTGCACCCAGTTATGCGAGGTCCAGACAACCTCCCCACGCTTTTCTAGACCAAGTTCTAGCCTCACACTGCCTGCTTGGCTTCTACGGGAAAGAAGTCAGTTTTAAGTTCTCTCTGTGGCCTCATGTCAAAGGGAACAGAAGCAGGTTTCTCCCACTATTTCATGATTGAATTCTTCTAACTCATGCCTCAAGAAGACCCAAATGTCAGGAAGTCCCATCTCTACCTCCACAGAGCTGTCTCTGCTCCTTCTGAGGGAAGGAGATATACAGTGTATCCTGAAGCTGGAAGAGGTCCTGAAAGTTAGGCTGGGAACACCGCTCCACTCATAAAGAGCACTAAAATATCACTGGAAGCATAAGCGGATAAAGAAAAGTGTATTGACCAAGACTCTTCTGACGAAATACGGAAGACTTGATAAGCCACTTGGGGTAGAAACAACAGATGCCTACACTGCCTTGGAGAAGGTTGGGTATGATTAACTGAAGGACTTCTGTTGTGCTGGTGAAGCAGACAAGGTGGGACTGAACCGCTGTGGACAACGGGGAGGCTGGATCAAACACCAGAGAGCCTCCTTTGCCCATCCGGAAGATGGCGCTGAGCCTCTCCTGCTGACAAATGTTGAACCAAGACTTGAAGAGTGTTGGTTTGACTGTTTGCCAACTGCTTAGCCCTCCTGGGGGACCGAGATTTCTCAGGCTAGCCATGCTCTGCCTCACCACGTAGCCTGCTGCTTATTGAGACCTTCCGCCCCTCACTTTTGGGGAGACTGAATGAAACCCTCCTAGAAATTTAGGTCTCTTTCAAATATTAGGTAATACTGGATTTTTCCAGGACAAAATTCATTGTAACACCCTGTCACCTCATCTGTTCCTACAAGAGCATGCATTCGGTGCAGAGGAAGCAATGGCAGGTACCTTCCTCTTCCTCCACATCACTGAGGGATTTCTCCTCAACAAATCCGGAGCTGGCTGAGCTCTGGCTACTGGTGATGCTGTCCAAGCGGCGTTTAGGATCCACGGTGATTTCCCCAACGTATTCTTTCCCTTGCCGGAATCGTGCCCCTTTAGTCTATAACGAAACAGTTGAACAAACTCCATGAACACCAGAAAATCTCTCCAATGTAGTTAAACTACAGAAACAATTGTAACTATTAAAAGAAGATGAGAGACATCAATTTCAGGATCATGGAATCTCTGGGCTGAAATTTGGGGCAAGTGTTCTACATAATAGATTTTCTTCCATAAAGCCTGTCTCTTTTCTAGCTTAGAGATAAGGGCCTTGTTACAAGTTTCACTCAGACACACTTCCAACATTAGGGCACTTTTGACACTGGGATTGACACTCCATAGGGCCACATATGGCCAGGGCAGAGACAGAATAATCCAGGGCTGTCCTTCCACCTGTCATTCCCTACCCTTAATCACACCCAACTTCCCCTCCTTGGCATCATCTATAATGGGTCAGTAGATTAGAGTCACAAAAATAAAACATGAGAAGTATGTGTCCTCCAGAAGGTAAAAGAGGAAGTTACAACAGCCAAGAGGTAACATGAAAAGATTCCTCACAATTTCTTTGCAGAATTTTACCACTTTGAGTTTTTCTCCATTTTACAGTGTGACCACAGTTGAGTTAGGAAATGACATACCTTGTAGGGGACAAACTCATTTCTCTTGCTCCTTAAGTAAGTTGACAGGTTTCCAAACTTGCAGAATTCCACAATCACCATGAGTGGCCCTGCAGACAGCACAGCATACCAAGAAGAGAAAATGTATTTGTATTTTCACTCGTTTCTCACCAAGTGTTTAAGATATCAATGAGCTAGAAAATATCACAGAAGAGGCTACACCCTTTCACTGGAAACAGGATCATAGAAATCAGCTGGCTGCAATTCCCTTATATTGTAACTTTTCTTTTTCCAAAAGGCAATTCCACAGAAGATGAACCAAAATTTCAGAAGAAAATCCACCCACTTGCTTTTCAACACAATCACCTGAGATGACTCCATTTTAGGGGGGCACCACTCTTAAAGTCCTTTGTTTTCAAATTTGGAGGGAAGTTTACTCTTCTCCTCTGAACACCTATTACATAAGTAGCAAACTGTATTATAATGATGTAGTATTTTTTAATTCATGTTCTACAATAATTTACAGTGCCCATTAAACCTCCATGAAATATATTTATATATAGGAATCTGCCCAAGTTTCCTAAGTTAAGGAAACCAAGGCCATGGGAGTTGGGTGGTTTCCCTCAAATACCAGCAGAAAAGTATATGCCAAAATCCCACAGCCAGAGCCATCTATAGACACTCACCCCCTGGCTTGGTACAGGCACCAAGAAGATTGACCACATTGAGATGGTGGCCAATATGAATGAGGATCTTGAGTTCAGACATGAGGGCTCGGTGTTCGCTGTGTGTTGCTCCTTCTACAAATATAAACAAAGAGGGAAATCATACATGAGGCATTACCTTAGGAGGATTAACGCCGCACGATGTGCATCTGTGCAACTTTCCCTCCAGGGGTAATACAACTGTAACCCAATTGACAGGCTAGCTGCATTGAAAGACAAACATAAATTATATTTTATAATTCTAAATCGAATTCTTTAAGTGCACCCAGAATGTTTGATATTTGAAGGAAGCCACTGTGAGGTCTTTTGCAAAGTGGAGAATACATCTGCAAATGAAATCATGCCCAGATTTTCTCCTTTTACAAAACTGGATTTTCACATATCAGGTTTACTATGCTTCTTAGGGCCTGATTATTTCAGTGCTTCCTCGTAAGGAAGCAACACCATGTATTGCTCATGCGTTAGGGGCTATGCTGGAGTTCCCACCAATCTGTGCCGAGCAGGAAACTTAACAAGGGCCAGCTGGCAAAGCCAGTTGGCACATGAGGCCGATGAGGCTAAGACTGTGAGTTTGATCCTGTACAGACTGGTACACTTCCCTCTAATTCACAGACGTGGTCCACACCTCAGGCCCTGATGAGCCACCTCAAAATTACATACTCCTCGGCCACAAGGGAGAAACGGCAAAAGGAGAGAGATGCCTTCAAAATGCACAAGACCTATTGGCGAAGGGTCAGTAGCACTGTCTCCATCCATGAAAGCACGTGAGAATTCTAGCAAAGAGCTTTATACGCATCACCCCCCCAAAATTAAAACGGCAAGACCAGAATTCCATTACGGTTAGGCTTGACAATTGTTTATGAAACTTTTAATTTTAAAAATGTCCCCCTTAATCCTTTTTTTCCCAGCACAACCATTCTTATTTTGCATATTGCCTTTTATATGTGAGAATCTTTTACGTATTCCAGTTCTAGGGAACATGCTGGTTTTTGCATGCTGCTATTTTTACTTATTACATCAAATTTCTTTTTCCGTTTCTTGATGGTCTGTAATTATCTTACTAATGCACTATAGTACACTAAGAAAACAGTTTTGATGTAACCAAGGTATTTTTTTCCTATAGCCGGACTACTAAATATAGTTGTACAAGCTGTGATCTGTGCAAGGGCTCCCAGGCAAGGTGGGGCGGTAGGGGAGCTCAGACCCATCCCAACTTTGCCTGCCAGGCTGTGGACCCTGACATGAGTCTATAAAAGAGGAAATTTTTATCTAGTTTGTACAAAGGCATCGTATAGTCTGGCTGCATGTTTGGCTCGTGGGCCCACCTAGCCACAGAGCCACTGATACAAGCCTTTCATCATGTTTAAAGATGGGATGAAACAGATAGAGGGATACATCACCATAGAATTTTGCTTTTACCTTTCAACATTTTGACAGCCACTGTCTTGCAGGTTGCTGTCTTGTCAATTCCAAAGGCATCTGCTTCAATCACCTGCCCAAAGGCACCACGGCCAAGAGGCTTACCTAGAGTCAACAACAAAACAGATTTGGACTATTTCATCACCAAAGCGATAGGCAAAGATTCTGACTTGATAGGGTGACCATACATCCCAGTTTATCATGGACAGTACAGTTGACCCCCTTGTCCTGGCTTAATAATTTAATACCCCCCTCTTCACCCTCTAAATGTCCTGCTTTGGGTGATTATACAGGGACCCTACTTCTAAGTGACTAAAATGGACGATTACTCAAATTCAGGAGATGGGATGCATTTTCTGAACCAGGATCCAACATTTAAATAGACCAGATTTGTCACCAGCCTAAAAGAGGAAGAGATGGCCTGGTAAACCCAATATCAAATTAACATCACTTGAAAACACACCTAGTTTCAGCCGGTCTCTGGGGAATTCCCATTTGCTGGCATCATAAGGCAGGCGTTCACAGTGCTCATCCAGGGGGAGTTCGTCTGGATCCATGACGATGGATAAGTAGCCCGTCTTCAGTTCCCCTCCACTGGCCTGGAAAGCATTGCTCCTTCCGGTCACACACACCCTGTTGTCTGGCTGTTGTTCTCTGTGCTTGTTATTGTTGTTTATAGAAGCCCCATTCTTGGTGTCTCATTTTCTAAATGGCTCATAGTGTGTGAGAGTAGTCCTATTATAATTCTGCTCCCAGTGTCCCCTCGACCCCCAAATGAGCTCAGAATTTAATTCTTAAATCTTAATTACACTAGACAGTCCAAGCCCATTTCTTCTCTTGTTGCTTCTATCAATTAAAGCCCAGTGGTCTAGCCAAAAGCAAGTGGGTAAGAAGGTTATTGTATAGAAATAAAATTGTGCCTGTTGAGCCAATAACAATGGGAAGAATCAACTCAAAGAACCCCAGTCAGCTTTCATTAATCATGAAAACCAACGTGCAAGGGACGGAAGGGAAATGATTTCGTTACCCGCTTAACGGTCCGTAGAACGATGACAAGAAGTAGCCAGAAGAACATGGCAATCACTGCAGTGCCGACTAGAATAATGACTTCCAAGTTTGTCTTTTCCTGGGCACCTGGAAAGACACAAATGAATGAGCATCAACAACTGGAAACTCATACCTTTTGATATAAAATAACAAAGTTCCACACTAAAGCAAAATCTCAATCTTACCAACTCAGGAAAATCCTAGACAATAATAGTCACAAACCTCTGACTTGAATGGAGTTTATAATATTCTTAATGGATAATTTCAAGTTTGCAAAACATTGCTCATGAAAACTTCCAACAGTAAAATTCTAAAGTAATTAAGAGAGAAATATTAATGTCCTAAAAGACAAACAGAAAGCATTTGGAAGAAGAGCAGCCTTTGATGGAAAAAAAAGCCAGATCATGTTCTATAGAGAAGAAAAGTATTCTATTTGGGGAAAACAAATGTTTGGTTTTATGCTGTTGGTCTATATTTTGATCTGTATGGAGTTTGCGGAAGGACTGTTTAAGAAAACAAGTAGGGAAATAAATGCAGTCCTTTGGCCAGAGAGCTATTGGTGACTAGGCACCTACGAGATGCTCATCACTTTAGATATGTCATGTCACTCAGTCTTCTCGACAACCCTCAGTTTTCAGATGGAGAAGCAAGCTCAGAGAGGTTAAGCTACTTCATCAAGGGCACACAGCAAGTTGATGGAATGGTCAAGAGTTAAACAAGGTCTGTCCAACACTGGCTAACATTTCACTACCCCATCCTTGTGTGGCAAGAGCCTCAGTGAGGAAAGTGAAAGAGCTGAGGTGAGTGCCTCAGGCGTGGCCTGGCAGTATGAGTTTAAACATACTCAGGAAAGGAAAGAGAAGAGAAAAAGCTGGAGGTCAGCAAGGAAAGCTGCAGATGTTCAGGACTCCAGAGGACAGCTCTGAGTGGGGAAAATTAAGCCCAGAGGAAGCTTTCAACCCGGAGTGATTAGCACAGTGGTGACAGGAAGCAATTATCACTTAGGCTCTCCCATTGGATGAGTGCAGTGTGAATCAAACTGGGCCACAAGCTGTGACAGTGGCTCAGGCAGCCTCAAGAAGACAGAAAGACAAGTAATTAATTAGTTAGCAAAATAAGAGTTATAGTTGGGAGACAAGCACCAAGTATGCTTGGAAGTAGATTTTGTTTCTCTGGTGGTCTTACTGAGGGAATTCTCTATTTATACACAGAGATTTAAAAGTCTGTTTGTTCATAGTAAAAAGTTCAAAGATTCAACTGTCTATATAAGTTGGTGCATTAATATTCCCATATGAACATTTGGGAAAGTAGCAGGAGCATTAAATATTTACCTCTTCCTTTCTTAGTATTCTCTTCTGGTGAGAAGTAAATACAATCTCTGTGCCAAGGTTACCTAGTTAGGCCTCTTGGTAACCAGCTGCAGACAGCTAACAGAGCTGAGGCAAAGCATGGGAGAGAACTGGAAGTCTCCCTTAGGATTTTGCCTAAAACATGTAGCACTTTGAAAGTGACAAAACCACCGTGTCACTTGAAATCTTTATTTGCAAGTGCAGTTTACAAAATGGTAATAAGCCTATAGATTTGAAAAGAAGTCAAGGTATTGAGATGTAATACTTGGCAACATAGATTTGACAGACTAAAGGAAATAAAATCTAGTCTTTGAGAGACAAATTAGGATGAGTGCATAGAAATCCATCAGTTCCTCCATCTATCACCACCCCTCTCTTTTCCCCTTGCATACCATTCCTTCACCCACATAATACAGTTTCATTGTCCCCTGATGGGTTATTTTTAAAAAGACATAGGAATACACTTTTGAAGATAAAATATTCTGTCACAAATTCACCTTTCCCATCTGAGAAAATGCCAGATTCACATCATTCCTGCATACACATTTAGATAAGAACCCAAATTTTCTACATCAGAGAAGCAATGGTCTATTGTTCACAAATGAATGTTAATTATCTTTAGTCCAATAAAAACTATGAACCTTTGTGACTATCTAGATAGCACCGACTTTCATGACTAGGCAGCAATTCTACCTAATAAATATAGAGGCATAACTTTCATAACAAGGTAATTAAGCCATTCATATGAAGAGAGAATCAGGGAGAGGAGGATATTCCACCGGCCTGGCTAAGAATTTTTCCACAGTGAGAACTGCGGGGATAGAAATGTGATGAGAGCAGAATTAAAATAACATTAATTATGTTTTCTGGTTAAAATAACACATACTTATAGTAGAAAACATACAAAGTACAAAGAATATTAAAACCACCCATAACCCTCCTGCCCAAAGTATATGAGTATATATAAGATACAAGCTAATTTTTTTTTTTTTTTTTGCGGTATGCGGGCCTCTCACTGCTGTGGCCTCTTCCGTTGCGGAGCACAGACTCCGGACGCGCAGGCTCAGTGGCCATGGCTCACGGGCCCAGCGGCTCTGCGGCATGTGGGATCCTCCCGGACCGGGGCACGAACCCGTGTCCCCTGCATCGGCAGGCGGACTCTCAACCACTGTGCCACCAGGGAAGCCCAGATACAAGCTAATTTTTTTTTTTTTGTGGTACGCGGGCCTCTCTAATTTTTAAAAACCACCTGATGGTCTCTGAATTCCCACTGACCTTCCACTATGAAAAACGCCTCCACTTTTGCACACCCGAGAACACTGCATGCCTGGCAGGTGTACAGGCCTTCATCCTCCTTCCTCACCCTGCGGATAGTTAGGTTCCGGTTCCCATCTTTTAGCACGATGCCTGAGAAAGGGGGAAATGGATGGTTTTTATTTATGATGTGGTCTGGTAGAGTTTTTCAGGACAAAAATCTTTTTAATGTAAATGTTTCCCTTTATCTTGGGCTATTATCTAACTCTAAAAAGAGTCATACAGGGTCAACTGCTGTCTCAGCTCCCCTGGCTTCCAGGAGAATTCAGCAGGCTCTGAATACTCGGGTTCCGAGTCTATGAGATGAGCCAGACCATGGGCAGTAATACTGCTTTCTGTTCTACCTAAAACAAATCAAGAAACCATATGGATTTTATACTGTAGGACACTTCTATGTGGAATCTAAAAAATAAAACAAACTAGTGAATATAACAAAAAAGAAACAGGCTCACGGATATAGAGAACAAACTAGTGGTGACCAGTGGGGAGAGGGGACAGGGGAGAGGGAAGCAAGATAGGGGTAGGGGATTAAGAGGTACAAACTACTAAGTATAAAATAAACAAGCTACAAGGATATATTGTACAGCACAGGGGATACAGTCAATATTTTATAACTATAAATGGAGAATAATCTTTAAAAATTGAGACTCACTATGCTGTCCACCTGCAACTTAAATAATATTGTACATCGATATACCTTAATAAAAATAAATAAATGAGTAAATAAATAATTTTTTTAAGAAAGAAATCATATGGATTTTCGTTAATATCTCTAGGAAGATTTTGCAGCCAAAAAGAGACCGACATGCTCTATTCACCTGAATCTTCCACAAGCGTCTCATTATCTTTAAACCACGTAATCTGTGGAGGGGGATTCCCAGACGCTGTGCAGGAAACTTCGATGGTTTCACCAATGCTTGTTGTCTGGTTCTCCAGGTTTCCTGTGATTGTAGGTGCCATGCGCTCTATGCACACGCACACACAAAAAATCATAGGACATTTAGTTATAAGTTTTGAAGTGGTTTTCATATCAGTAAACTATTAAACCATTTAGTAAACTGTTAATTTACTAAGCCAAAAATACACAGACGTTGATAACTGGAGCATTGTTCATGGCGTAAAGTTAAATGAAACAGGTCAGTCAGTTCAGACAGATTACTGCATCTCTCTGAACATTCACATTAGTGATTCAAGCTGGTAATCACATCGCAAAATAGAAGTTGTCACCCTTGACTTCCCTCCAGATGAATAAATAAATTCTAGCCAGTGACACACAAGAATTCTGCCCTGTTTCTCTTGGAAAGTACATAACTTCAGTGTAATTCAACAAAGAATGCCTTATATTTATTTGACACTTTTTGCAAAACTCATTTGTCCTATTTCTGTTTTTCACTCTCAACCCTATGGTGGGCAGTATTAGCCTTATTTTGCAGATGAAAGGGGTTAAACAACTTACCCCAGTCCTTATAACTAAGGAAACAGTTGAACTCAGAATTTCCACTAAAACACAGACAAAACAATGATAACCTAAGGAAAGTCAAAGATTTTTAAAAAATGAAGCCCACAGGTACTCATTTAAATGTACAGGACAACTTTAGATTTAACCTTTCCTACAAATCATCAAAGTGCTGTGGAAATATCTTGTCCAAACCAACTGAACATCGAAAAGAATCCTGCTGAGAGAATCCACTTCAACATTTAGCAAAATTAGATTACCTCAATGGTGAACTACGCTGGGGCTTAAGCAAATGGACTCTAGTCTATTTCCAAGAATAATTTTTGGAAAACAACTTGGGAGTCCTTAGAGAGCAAACCAGCTCATTGTGAGCATGTATTTCCTGGGCATGGCAAAGCCAGGAACCTCCTTCACATCTCTTTCTGAATTTTTTCACTAGCTTGAAACCAGACCGGTCACCAAGATGAACAGAAAACCATGATCATATATGGGGTGTGATTTGAAGGGCCTTGGGATGACTTCACTCAAAAACATCTCTTCTTCTGACACCAGAGTCTCAACACTAGCAAAATCTGTCCTAGTGCCTGTTTGAAAATACCTCTTAAAATATGTCAAGGCCTTTGAAAATATTATTCCTCTAAAACTTTGGTATAAATTAGTTTATCTGGGCAGTTCCCCCTTCCTGACAGTTAAAAAAAACCAAAAACAGAACACATGCACCCTAGAAACTAGGAAGGGACACTAGGGAGAGGAGAAAATGGAAGGAGATAGCACTGAGAAACTCCCCAAATTTGACTGATTTCCCCAGAGACAGAGCCGTGTCTGCACGGATTTTGTGCAAGGCGCGGGGTTAGAGGAGGTATAGAGAGTGACTTGGTGTGGGACTTACAAAGCTTTCTTGCACTAAAATGCTCATTTCATTGACCGTGAGCTGTACCACAGAGGTACAGGCACTGAGTGCAGCATCCCTCCCAGAGGCTCTCACAGGTCTTAAACAATCCCATCACCACACTCTTCAGGCAGCAGATGTCTTATCAAGCACGCAGTATGTGCCACTATGTTCTATGCCTGGAGCTCAGCAAGGAGTAAAACAGAAACAACCCCTGTTCTCATGGACACAGAGACCTCACTGTACCCCACAGCCCAGCAGTTGTCTGTGTTCTCACTCTGTCCACCACTATGAACTTCCGGCACCCTCCTAGCTCATGGTAGGCATTCACAAATATGTGTCTATTTAAATAACTGAATGCTCAAGAATGAGGCAGAAACTTCCTTGGTTTAGGGGAATCCCTTGCAGATAGTAGTGAGTGACCCCACCATCAGGGTTGGAAAGAATGGGGTTATTTTCTCTTTTTAATACATCACTTCACCACGATTAGCTTCCTTCTGACTTGAGGACTTTCCACAAGATAAGTGCTCACCGATCTACTTCATAAGCTGCTAGAGGACAATCTTCACACAGCCCCTGAAAGCATTACATTTACGGCATCCCAACTGCTTCTGGATGGTCCAGAGTTACCTCCCTACCTAGGACTGTAAGCTGCCTGGCCACGCAATGTCTTTTCTTGGTCTTCCTGTCCTGAGCAAAGCAGATGTAGTCTCCTTGGTCCTGCAAGGATGCATTCTGCAACTCCATGATCAAAATGTCATTTGTGCTATTAGAGATCATCGTGGCGTTCATTCTCCAAAGAGCATCCAAGTTCTTGCAAACAGGTGTGGGCAGCTCTCCCACGTGGATGGGCAGAGCCTGTGGGCCAAGTTTGTACCACGTGAGGTTCTCAAACATAGTTCGGTCCGCGGAGCACCACAGAGACACGCTCTCCTGCTCGGTGGGCTGGGTGCCGGGTTGCAAAGTGATTTCAAAACCCTCTGAAATGTAAAACCCATGCTTAGAAGACAGTGATTTAACTTGGGCAGCACACTATTGCTTCCTTGTTGCCCTCAGTCTGCGATAAAGCCCCAAGAGAGGTGAAGCTCTGGCATTCCCAGAAGATGGAATACAAGGAGACGACCAAACTGGACAATTCCAGATTCAAAATGTATTATTTTGCCAAAATACATTATTTGGAAATGTAAATGAATTCCTCAGATATACAAGAAATCTCCACTTTGAGCTCTAAGCACGGTTTTTAAGATTTAACCCCCCCCCCCAATTCAAAGCAGATAATTATAACTTGGGATTTAAAAAATTAATTCCTCATTAATATATAACACTCACTGACAGGAGAGCTATGTTTATTATAGTGAATTAGCTCAGACTGAAATATTTTATTCCATCCAGTCAGCTAAAGCTGAGCCATAGAATTAAGATGAACAAAGTTGGTAGTATTGGGAAGGCACTGTTCCAATGTCATTACAATTGCCTCCCCCAAACCCAACCTTGTCAGCTCTTCAACAGCAAGTGCATAAACGTTGACTGAACCTCACTAAGCCAAGCACTGTGCTGCACTGTGATGACAAAGACAAAAATATCACGCGGGACTTGAGCTTCAAAAGCATGTGTGAACCCATGCTCCCTCTCCTGTGAAGTCAGATGTACTGACTTCACGTGAGCCCAGGAGCTACCTGGGGAACTCTCCTTTATGAACAAAAGCATCAATTAGCCATCCGACTCCCCTTCCTAAAGCCACGCCACTCATGGGAATGGCCAGGACAACAGAGTATCAGACAGCCCAGCCCCTGGAGAGCACTTACTGGTCACGTGGAAGGAGATAACCCTCTCTCCTCTCCCAGCTTTGTTCACCGCTTCACATTTGTACAAAGCGGATACATTGGCTGCTTGGATAACAAGGGTACTTACAGTCTGTGAAAAAAACAAATTCCAGGCCATAAACAATGGAGGCTGTGTTTATGCACGTGCATTCAGACTAAAAGTCAGCATCCCCACCACTGCCGCGATCTGCCTACGCCATTCAGACTCCAGCACTGACCACGCACGCTCAAATCTGTGCAATTATAATTATGCTGGTGCAGCTCACACATCATACAAAGCGAGCTTTGGAAACCATGGAATAAAGAATGTGTTTTAATACAACATTACATACGTTTTCTCATTTTCATGTTTATAAAATCAGAATTACCATACATCCCATGTACAGAGTTAATGACATATATGTTTTATTTTTCTCTGATACAGTAACAGTAAGTCAGTGGTGTTTCTAAAAGTTAATGGTGTTTTCAAACTGACTTAACATGCTAGTATTTTATCACCCAATTTATTTGATGATCAATCGCCCATATTCCTCACACATTGATATTATTTTACCCTACTTTCACTCCATCCTTCCATAAAAGAGAGACAGATTTTCAAATTAAAGAACTTCAAACTCACTTTGTTTTTTCCTTCAATTAGGGCAAATTGATTTTTGTTGACTTCGATATTGTTTCCCCCCTGGAAGTCCTCCACGTTTCTCCATTCTTTACAGGTATGTGGGTTTGTCGTTAAGGCAGCTTGGCTATAAGAAAGAGGTAACAGATGATATCATGACTTAATTTTTCTTTAATTCATATCAATAGCAAGGAAAGGAGTCAGACTTTGGTTATTACGTTCTTAGAACTAACTTCCAATGCACGCTACCACGTTACAAGACTTGGCGCCAATTAAAAATAGGCCTCAGCAATGAAGGAAAAGGTTCTAGGTAGATTCATTCAGGATACAGGAGGGAAGCAGCTATTCTGGGAACAAACCTCCATTCATAAATTGGATCGACAAGACAATTCAAGTTAATTTAGTTCAAAGGAAGGCAAGGAAACTAAGAAGCCATTGGGCTTCTTAATCTCCCTGGGACTGTGGCCTTTGTGTAGGAAATGGTCAGCATCTGAGGAAGAAACTAATAGAGGCCATCTCAAAAACAACAACAGGAAGTGAACTGCTTAGGGTGGTGGTGGGTGACTTGTTGTTTTTTTCCTAAGGATGTCTGGACTTGTGTTAGGACCTGATAAGCCGGGCCTGAGGCTCCGAGGTCCTTGCATCCATCAGCACTTCCCTTGAGATGTACCTTCTCACAGATAAGGAGACTGTGGTATTCACCGGTTGATTGGCATAAGGAGAAAAACCAAAGACTGGCAATTAACAAAGTGAGCAAAGAAACTGCATTCAGAGAGATGGACATCAGGGCCAACCCGAAGAGAGAGCTAGCTAATCTCAAAGCGGGATACCCCAAGGAACGACATCTCCTAAAGACGTAAGCACAGAGAAAGACGGAAGGAGATTAAGAGTACCACTTGAGGGATAACCTTCTTAGAGATAGTCTTCTTGGCTTAGAATGGTGTCATATCGTAGCTTGGCTATGTCCATCGACAGAGGAATAGATAAAGAAGATGTGGTACATATATACAGCGGAATACTACACTGCCATATAAAGAATGAAATAATGCCATTTGCAGCAACATGGATGGACCTAGAGGTTATCATACTAAGTAAGCCAGACAAAAACAAATACTATATGATATCACTTACGTGTGGGATCTAAAAATAAAACAAATGAATAAATATTTTTTTAAATGCAAAAGAGCAGGAAAAAAAGGATGTGACCCTACTCACATGGGCTGGTATGTACACTCTGTTTCCAGCTGCCAGTACCACTGGATGTGACTCGGGGGAGGAACGGCATAGACCGTGCACGTCAGCGTTTGGGAGGTGCCGTACTGGTAAGAGTCCACGGGAGAGATCAGAGATTTCTCACCAATCTGGGGTGGGACTGGAGATGGGAAAGACAGCTTTTGAATTGTCAATCAGCTTTGAGGAATGGAAAGTAGAAGTTTTCAGCAATTAAACCTGTGTTTTTCCAAGCATAGAATTTTTGCCCCCATTTGCTTTTTCAAAGAACATCTAGATTTGGAGACAGGACACCTGACTTCTAGCGATACTCATGATAACAATAATAATAAACTAGTAAGTTGAGTGACTTTGTGCCAGTCTCGCCACCCTGTGCCTCACCATTTTCTCGTCTACATTACAGAGATTGTTCTCCTAATCCTCCCAATTTCACAAGATCAGACAAGGCTCCAGGAAGAAAAGAGTTGTGAATAATACAGTGAGTACATGTATTATGTACTGAGTATTGTTCTAAGCGCTTTACATCAATTAATTCATTTAATCCTCACAGCCACTGCTATTGTCCTCCACTTTACACATGGGAAAAATTAAAAAGTGAAATGACTTGCCCAAGGTCACCCACCATGCCTGCTTCTCCATCTCTCCCTCCTTCTTCCCCTTCCTTCCTTTCTCCCCTCCTCTCTCCCATCCTTTCTTGTTTTCTTCCCTTCCTCCCTCCATTCCTTCTGTGTCTTTTCCTCCTTCTCTCCCTTTTTTCTCTCTTTCTTTTTTAGGCTCCAAAGTCATTAATGTGAAACTATCTTCTCATCACTACCAACCTAAAGCCTCAGATTATACTTTCAAACCTTGACTTCTTTCTTTATCTTTGTTTTATAGAGCAGGGTAAATGCTAGGGTGAATCAAACATTTAGTGACTTCCTGGATAAATGAGATAGAGTTATTCACTGTCCATTTTTACATCTTTATTTCTTGTTCCTTTCCTTCTCCCCACCCTACTTTTCAGCTTCCCAGCTTCTCTATACTCCCCAAACTCCTACACCCAAGTGGCTCCTAAGTCACATTTCTGGAACCTGTTATCTTTAAAATACTCCCCGAAGCTGATGTCCCCGCAAAGAAACGAAGCCAAGCTCAGAAGACATACAGAGCTTGGCAGGATATACAGGGAAGCACCTTAATGTCACATGAGAAGATCCTGAAGTTTTAATCTGCCATGACAGTAGAAAGCACAAAGAATTACAACAGAGAGGCATTTCCCAACCTGTGTTTGGAGCAAGATATTAATGGATGTATGCGGGAGGGGTGCTCTGGTCAAATAAGTTTGTTAAACCTTGGCTACTCTATGTCTCCCACCCACCACTGGAGAATGGCAATATACTATGTCCATCAACTTAGCATCTCCCACATTTACTTGACCATGATGTCCTTTTCCTCCCCACCCGGAGTACTTATTGTAAATAAGTATCTTTCAGTTTGGAAAAATAAAATTCAAACCATTCTTAAATCAAAAACTTAAATATCTCCGCCTTTATAGCCTCAGAGTCAGATCCCAGACTCCTGTTGAAAAAAAAATTAAAACACTTCCAACCAGCCAACAGTGTCCACCTGCAAAAGCCTTCTGCATTGGAATCTGCCTGTGCATCACTGATACATCAACCCCCAAATCAAACTAGTAGCTTCCCACAAAATTCAAGAAGAGTCTTAAACATTTGCATGCCAGGAGCACAATTCAAAGGTACTGCAACTGGAGCCTGATGACTGTCCCTGTGGGCACTCTTATGTCACAGCATTTAGCCATCGGCTGAACCATCTACTTTAGGCTCGAGTTCGACCACCAACTGCATCATTCTCATGGCCTCTTAAGCAAACATGTCCAGAGCATACCGCCCCACACCTCACTTCAGCCGCACTGTCGTGGATCATTTTTATACACCAGAGCTACTCATGATGTGAGTGAGGCAGAGACACCAAAGGAACGGTGGCCTGGCTGTTCAGGACATAATCATACTCTTTATAATAGATAAAGAGAAGGAAAACTGAATGGACTCACCATTCACAACCAGAGATACCACGTGGCTCTGTTTCTCCTTTGAAATGGGATTGGTAAGGATGACAGTGTAATTTCCTGTATCTTTTTCACTCACTTCCATAATAGTCAGTACGTGCCCCACTTTAATTGTGTGATTGGACTCAATGGGTCTTCCATTTTTATACCTGTGGGGAAAAACAAATCCCAGAAATGAGTCCAATCTAAGGATTTGCTTTCACGTGGAACACGGCTTTGCATTTATTTCCAGTCGTTACCATTTTATTTCTGGAGGAGGGTAACCAAGGCACTTCACAGGGACTCTGACACGGTCTCCCACGGTGGCTTCCACCAAAGATTCCATGCCACTACCGAAAGCAACAAAAGGTTTTTCTGGAAGAAAATAAAAATAATTTTTCTCATAAATGGCAACTTCTTATAAACGGCCATTTGGTTTAGTTTTTCATTTCAAGTGAAGTGTCAAAGACCTTGGGGGTCTAAGTCACTGCTGTTCAGAGAGTCCCCATCTCACCCTTCTACAGGTCCCACTCCAGGTTCTCCCTCACCTGTGGTCTCTGCGTTAGCTTTTCTCTCTCCCCCAGTCTGCTCCACAAGTCTACTGAGCACTCAAATCTCACTCAACTCAAGCATTTGCTTCTCTGTGAAGTTTTCCCTACATCTCCTCTGCTCCCATGACACCCTATACATACCTCCCATGTGCCCCAGGACTCAGTCCTCGGACCTCTTGTCTTTACCAACACCCTCCTCTTGTCAATTACACATTCCTCCTAAATCTATATCTCCTGCCCCTGACTTCCCTGGGTTCTAGGTTAATATATTAAAGTCTCCACTGGATATTTAGTGGGCGTCTCCAAATGAAGCCACCCAACCCTGTGTCCTATTCCTCTTCCTATCTTCCCTATCTCGGTTGAGAAAACTACCGTTCACTCAGTTGCTCACGCTAAAAACGCAAAGGTCATCTTCCATCCTTTTTCTCTTATATCCCACAGCCAGGGAATCAATAGGCAAACCCTACTGGCTCTATCTTCAAAAATACATCCAGAATCAGGTCACTTCTGACCACCTCCACTTCTACCACCCTTGTCTAAGCCACCCACCATCTCTCACCTGGATGACTGCAATTAGCCTTCTAACTAGTCTCTCTACTTCTGCCCTTACTTCCCTAAAGTATTTCACATTAAAATAACCCACATAGTGATCCTATAAAAACATAAGCCAGAGCATGTCTCTCTCTGCTCAAAACCCTTCTATGCATTCCCATATTATAAAATCCAAACCCTTATGAAGGCCTATAAGTTGGATGCCATACAAATTATCATCTAAACTGAGACATTTATGTGAATGAAAGAGAATAAATGGGAAGTTAAGTTATTTTCTCAAAGCCCAACAGAAAGTAACTAAATACAGGTTTCCCCAATTGCAAGGCCCATGCTTACTCGGGAAGCCTCTCAGCCTTGCGATCAAATGAAAATTTAAAAATGATCTTAAAAAAAAAAAAAAGATCTTAGATAATAACCCTCTGCTTATTATAGTGATAATAGTAATAGCAACAACAAATAATATGTAGTGAGCCCTTACTACATCAGCTCATCTCATCTTTAAAGTTGGGATTTGAACCCAAGCTACGCTCTTGACCTCGAGGTCAAGTGGCCTTCCTAGCAAGAGCTCAAAAACATCTTCTGAACGAGCAAAATAGGAATCACTAGCTGACCTACATTTATTTAAATCATCTCACTTTTCAAGGCAGAGCATAATTCCAAAGGAAATCTTAGCTTACCATGGACCCTGATGAATGTGCTGTTCCTCTTGGTCATGAGCCCACTGGAAGCGGCACAGGTGTACCACCCTTGGTCACGCCGGGTTACACCATCTATAGTCAAGGTGCTCAAAAACTTCTTCATCTCACTCCCAGACTGGGTTTTTAGGTCCCGGTTTACAAGTTTCTTATGCTGATGCTGAAAAAGAGTTTAGTGAACTTCCAAAGTCCAGAATAACATTCCCTGGTAGCTTCTAGATACCCATAAAAGTCTTGGCCTTTGGTGAACACTATTTAATGCTAATAATAGATACTTCTGAACTTTTATCATCATGCTGATGACAAATACATTTGGTTTCAGGAGAAATAAATAGAATCAACCGAATCAGGCATTTTCAAACCTCACATAATGGGAATGAGATCAATGTAAACTGCAGAAACCCAAGGAAATATGACCACTGTTTAAGGAGAAGTGTGTCTCATGCCACCTCATGAAAAGAAATTCCCTTAAAAGGAAAATAGATCAAGGACTTTGGAGAACGGAGAAATAATGCAACCTAGAAAGACATAATCCCCTAAAGAAAACTAATCTTCACAGCCTGGACAGAGTTCTTGGTTTTGCATCTTTTTTTTTTCCATGAGTGCTGTATGTCCTACAGTTCTCTTAAAATGTGTGTGTGTGTATGTTAGTGTAAGTTAAGGCCCTTACATTTTATCTGGCAAAGAGGTCCCTATCTCTCTCAAGCAAACTTCGTTGGAGCTTATTATCAAAGTATTTGGAGGTCTGGCTTTGAATTGTTAGTGTTACCTTCAAAGAAGGGTATTCCCAATTGAAGTCAATCCCCACATTTAGTTCAGTTCTTGCTGTACAATTTAAGACAAGCTTCTCTCCAACAGACAGCTCAACTCCGTGAGGGGGGCTCAGAACCACATCATAAATCTTGTACCCTGGAGCAAGTACATTGGAAAAACAGAAAGTGAGAGGGAAGCCAAAATCTATAACTTGGCACACATTTTTTCAGACATGATGCAACTTCAAAATGTGTCACATCATTTTTCCCTGAGGGCCTCCCCAAACCTTGGTGAACTCCCAGGAAAACGGTCTACAGAGATCCACAAAGCAGCCCTAAATGGATCTCAAAGATGTTGTAGCCCAGTGGACAGAAAAGCAGTAAAATCTGAGGGGTCAATAGTCAATGCGGCCGGTTTTAGAAAGCTACCAAACTTTCCATAAAATAGGTATAATTAAAAGACTTGATGCCAAGCAATGCTCTGAACATTGAATTTTCCAAACAATATGCTCCCATAACAGAACTCTTATTCATTCTTGGTCTTGGTAAGGAAGGAGAAAAACCTCAGTTGCACATAGGTTTACTGGGTAGAGAAGAGCGGATGTAGTGAATTGCTTAACAACAAATCTTGAAATAATATATTTCTCAATATCTCTTGTCCTCCAGAATCTTAATATAAGAAGCTAATCTTTATTGTCTGACATTAATGATACAAAAAGGAATTGTCCTCTTACCTACAACCACAACTATGTACATAATAGACTGGTAACTTTCATCATTAATTTTTGCTTCACAGAAGACCATGCCAGCATAGCTGATCATGTAGCTGGGAATAGTGAAGCCTTTCTTGCTGTCCCAGGAAATTCTGTTACCATCAGGAACAAACCTCTTTTCTGGATACCTCTGGGTAGAAAAAGAAATATCAAATATTTAATCAAGTGCTATCCAAAAGTAAAAACCATGAACACTAAAGAATTCAACTTATTTTAAGAATACAAATTGGTTTTATTTCTTGTCATTTTGACCCTTCCTAAAGTTTCCTTTAAAACTCATTGTTGACTTAATGTTATATAATGCATGTAATATATATATTTATAATATATATAATGTTATAAACAGGCTACCCATCTTAATACTAGCTTAATATTATGAAAGGGTAAGAGATGAAGAAAGAAGATGTAACTTACTGCACAAAGTGACACATTGAGGTTTGAAATGGTCCCCAGACACGGAATCACCACAGTTTTGTTTTTGTTCTCAGTGATGTACACAACTCCATGTTGGTCGCTGACAGAAGCAATAAATGGAGATCTGTAATCTAGAAGAAAATGTAGTTCCATGAGTTAATGGCATTTACTAGAAAAGCGGGTCATCTTTCAGGTTCATAAACTCTAACCAGAGAAGTAAACTATTGGGAAAGACATTTCACACTAGGCAAAGGAATCCAGAGGTAGGTCTGCTGGTAAATATCTGGCTCCAAGGTTATGCTACAGGAGGGGGGGGTGTGTATGTGTGAAAAATCTGGAAGAAAACACCCAGAATGAGACTGGCTCCTTTTGCACTGATGATCAACAAGTAGAGTGTACTTTACAGGTTCCACATTTAAGCAGATTGATCATTACAGTTTTTTCAAAGTGAGGGAGCACACGTCTTCATTTTCATATACATTTTCATATGCACTATACATCTTTCATGTATATAAGTTTTAAAGTAAATTTAAAGTTAAACCTGTATAGTTTACCTACTGAGTTTTTTTTTTTTTTAATTAATATTTATTGGAGTAGAGTTGATTTACATTGTTGGGTTAGTTTCTGCTGTACAGCGAAGTGAATCAGTTATACATATACATACATCCACTCGTTTTTAGATTCTGTTCCCATGTAGGTCATTACAGAGTACTGAGTAGAGTTCCCTGTGCTAGACAGTAGGTCCTTATTAGTTATCTAGTGTGTATATGTCAATCCCAATCTCTCAGTTTATCCCTGCCCCTTCCTCTCCCCCTTGGTAACTGTAAGTAAAGTGGCCACTCTGATTCAGTTCTGCATAATGCAGAGCTTCCCTCTGCCCCAGTTTTCTGCTCCCCTAACATCCAGGAATGTCCGTGTCAAAGGTATATCGTATCTGTGTATTTTTTTCCTTTTTTGATTTCTCCATGGTTTTGCAGCAGAAACACACACGGGAATATGGAAAAATCTTCAAGTCTCACTTTGGTCCTCAGTTTGTAGTATCTGTTGCAGACCGAGACCTGGTGGCTCAGGTGCTCCGGGCAGAGGGAGCCGTGCCCCAGAGAGCCAACATGGGGTCCTGGCAGGAGTACCTAGACTTACGGGGCAGATCCACCGGGCTCATCTCCGCGTGAGTATGTGAGGCCAGGCTGAGACATGAGCAGGAGCGGGGAGACCAGGGACGCCCCCCCTCCCTGAACGCTGGGCTCCTAAAAACAGCCATTAATAAAGCACAGAACTCCCAGTGGAATAGTATCAAAAGAGCCTCACGTGTGATCTCCCCAAATCTCCTAAAACCCTCTGGGAAGAGATTTGGTGGCAGGGACAAGGTGGGGAGCCCACTAGCCGAGTGATGGAGAGGAGCCATTTTTCAAGGAACACTGTGGCTTTAGGTGTCCTTTCGGTGACCACTGAGGGGGCTGAAGCTCACAGAGCCCCTCTGTGGACAGGGGTGAGGGTGGTGAGCTGTTTTAGGAGACCTCCAGGAGGGGCTACGAACTTCAGCATTGATCGCCATGGGATGATGTTCCTGCCTTATAACAGACCATGGTTATTATACACCTTTGTGTCTTCCAAGAGTGAATCGGGACAGCCTCAGGTAGGGAGGAGAAAACAGAGCATCTGCAGATCCCCTGGTCCAAATCCCTTTGGTTTAGCAATTCTATCTTTGGCTCTTTTGATATACATGTCCTTACACAGGAACTGGGGAGTAATACCATCGCTCCCCCTACTGAGTTTTTTGATGTTAAAAACTTCATGTTCTCTCTCTTAAGGCAAATAGTGTAACTGTCATGAAAATAGGTTAATGGCTCCCAAAGATTCTTTAAAGAAATGACTAACGATTTTTAATTCAATAATTCAAGAGAAAGTTTCACGTGAGTATTTTAAGATTGTGAAGACTAGATATAAGATTCTTTATATAATAATGTTGAATAGTTAAATTGTTTATGTTTCCTGTTTAATTGCATTTAGTTTAAGATTCAGCAATCATTAATATCTTCAATGACAAAAGCCTGAAAAGCCACCATGGCAAAGACTGAGAAAAAAACAAAAGAGATTTTAATGCTGTTCAAACACTGTTCGTATGATGTTAACACGCTGCTGGGAAACGACTCCTTTTCCCAGAGATAGAGTTGATGGGTGTGAAGCCATGCCTGAAATCTCAGAGAGATAATGGTTCATGCCACTCTCCCCAACACACCTGACCAAGCATTTTCAGAGCTCTTCAGGATGGTTGGTTCAAGGAAAGAAAGAGTTAATTAAACCAAAGGGGAGAAAAGCAGCTAATTCCCTGCAACAGCAGAAGTTTGATTTCCCTCCCAGCTGGACAGCACAGAAAGGCAGCCAATCCAGCCACCACATGCCATAGTCATTATCTTATGAGACCAAGACCCACTTCCCGGCTCCATCCATTGCTGGAGGGAATGGGGTCAGAAGACTAAGGAAGTAAGGTGGGGACCAGAGGGGATATTAAAGGACCATCCATAGGGAATACTTCAATGTTTTCTTTTCCACTGTTAAACTTCATGACCAAAATCTTGGACAACTCACCTCCTAGAACGCTAGGCTTAGACAGGAAGCAGAATTTGATGGTATACTCAGAGACAGGCAGTGTACAAATAAACAGTGCTGGGGATTGCTACTTCTTCGTATTACCTACCTTTCATCTGCATGCTATGAAATATTACATAGCTTGCTTACAGAGCAAGTCTTTGGACGCTAAATTAACCCCTTGACGTAAGACTAAAGCTATTCAGTAAATCAATTCTATTTCAGTATCCCAAAAAGAGGAAATAAACAAAAGAAACCCAAACAACCACCCATCCTCTCAAAATAAAATATTTACTGTAACTCATGAAATGAATTTTCACATGTCTCCAGGTTTCCTGACTTGGGGAGAAGGAAATAACGAGATATTATGGGAGAGGTTCATCTTGTAGTATTTCCAGACAGCCTGAAAGCAGGAAATCCTTGCAATCTTCTGAGAAAGCCTGATCTCCCAAGACTGCCAGATCAAAAGGAGCCAGAAATACTCGAAGATCTGGGCCTTGTCTCTTTCAACTTCTGCAGAGGGGAGGAGAGCACAAAATTCTACCTTGGACTGTGCTTACCCTGGGCAAAAGTAATTCTCAAATATTGTGCAATCCAGGAGTGACATACGTTATTCTGATGTGGTCCCCATTCTTCCCTTGCACTGACCATACTGCACTATTGAAACGCAAATGGAGATGTGCAAGTATGTCTCCCAAAGCTGATGAAATTCCTTTTCTGTAAAAGATGCTTCTGGAAAAAAGTCTAAGCCATCTTCACCTGCTTCAAATTCTCTAGGATGTACAGAGGTAAGTAAATGTATAAATAAAATGTCTAAAAAGCTCATCTTTACTGAAAAGAAAAATATTTAGTATATCTACGCAAAATACTATACTATAGACTTATACCCACTCAAGTTATATGATTCATATCTCATTAGTTAAGTCAGGTTTTCTTCAGTTAGCACAAGATTTTTGAAACACGAAGGAAAGAATAATTCAGATTATAAATGCTAAATACATGTGACATGGAGTTTACCCTACATGGATGTTAAGTTGGCCTCCACAGTGTAAATCCCAAATTGCAAACTATAGAAAGATGGAGCGTGCCATCCAAGATCTCAGACCACACAAGCAAAGGAAACACTGTCCTCCAAAGGCCTTTTGAGGCAGTGACTTTATTTGCACAAGTGTATGGAAATTGTTTTTTATAAAGTGTAAGTGGGAAAAGAAAAGTTCCTATGAACAAAAAAAGCTCCAGAGCCCTTGGCTGACTCCCTGTGCATTCTTGGGGAAATCTCCCAATCTGCTGTAGATAACCTATCTCTCCACAGAAACCTCTCCATAATTCTCCCCTGAATCTTCCTTTTCGAGGATTTCAGGGTTTTTTTTTCTCAAACATCAGAAAACTTCTTATAAATCTCCATTGCCAACTGTGAACACAGATTTCCCTTAGAAACAAAGATCAGAACCAAACTAATTGGGCAATAGAGATGTAGCAAGGCCCAAACTGCAGAACAAATCACTGAGTCTTGTACTCAGAGGAGGCCTTGGGAGAGAAGAATTTTGTAGATTCCTGTTGGCAGAGAGCCTTTAGAGCGAGCCTTTGTTGTCCGGATTCTTCTTTACACCTATTGTGTTTTGTAACTGGTAAATTAACTTGGGAAGTGAATTCCATTTAACCACTTACCTTGAACATACACATAGATGACGGAGGCCATGTCAGTGTCCCGGTAGAAGCACTTGTAGGCTCCAGTATCATTTCCGATCACTTTTGGAATGGTGAGCGTCTTACATAAGGCACTGTCACTGCAATCCTTCACCTCCACTCTTTTCTCAGAGCCGCTCTGATTGTTGGGCCAAAGCCAGTCCAAGTCCCTCTGACCCCTGAAAAATTCATTCCAAGCAAGTACTTAAGTGAAATGCCTATGAGGCTGTTTCTAAGAAAATAGAAGGTTTAGTTCTCAAACTTATACAAACTCCTCAACAGACAGATTCATAGCCTTCTACCAACAATGACAGATTATCTGGACAAATGACAAAAAGCCAGAGTCTCAGCTTCAGAAATCACTTATAAGGATTCCCGAGTTTTCTATTACTTATTTTAGTCAACCAACAAATATTTATTAAGCATGTGCTATGTGTCAAACGTTGTTGAAGACTGGGAATACAGCAGTGAACAAATCAGATAAAAATCATTGCCTTCATGGAACTTGAGTCTAGTTGGAGGAGACAGGCAGTAAAAAAGTACGTAAACTTCAATAAAGCTGAAACTTTTAAAAAGTAAGTAAAATATGTTGTATAAAAGGTGGTGATAAATACTATGAAGAAAGTCTAGAAGAGGCAAAGAAACAAGTGAAGAGTTCTAGAGGGAGGGGGCTTGGTGAAGTGGGCCGTATAGATATCAGGAGGAACAGAGTTCCAGGCAGAGGGAAAAGCCAATGTCAAGGCCCTGGGGTGAGTGCCTATCTGGAGTATTCGGGGAATGGCAAGGAAGCCAGAGTAGCTAGAGAAGAGTGGGCAGTCGGGAGAGTAAGAGGTGAAGTTAGGAAGGAAGGGGATGCAACTGTCTAAGGGCCTCGTAGGACCTTGGAAGGATGGCATTAAAGCACAGATTACTTTCATTGCAGCATTTCTCTACAAAGCCCCAAGGAAGACAGTCAACATCAAGAAGAATGTAACATCACTGACCCTTCTTTAAAGAACTTGAAATTTCCACGAAGTTGCAGTTACATTAATGAAGTTACTTTTAACACACTCCATTGTTTTTCTGGGGACATAAGAGGTGTATATATAGACTCTTGGGGAATTTTGAATAACCTTTGCTGTTAAGGGTGGGTAAGAGGAAAATCTGCTGAGAAATGCAACTTGAAGTAGCAAAGCTAGGCAAACAGCACCTGTTACTATGTTTTTTCCCAAGGGTTGGGTATTGGTCCCCTACCCTTGATAAGGCAACTAGGGTATCCTTTACACTCGGCAAGCTAAAACAGATCTGTGTCACTGTGCTGAACACTTGGCATTCATCAAGCAAAAACAATGGCAACAAGCTCCCCAAGGTTCTTTGTGGACCATCAGCACTGTTCTCAGGGGGCAAGATCACCTCTACCCACCACCTCTGCCAAAACCACACCGGTCCCAAGAAGCCTCTGGCTCTGTCATACATAATCACTACATTAAACCCTAAAGTCTTCTACTTTTCTCCCTGAGGTAGGGGCTGGAAAGCAAAATTTAGACGCCTCCTCATCTTGTCAAAGAGGCCTATTTCCCCAGCTAGCAAAAATCAAGAGCATGACTTCTTGCTAGCTGGTGAAAGAGACATGCCAGGACCTCAGGCCAGAGCTTGACATGCACTCAGCAATATTAATGACTGAATATAAAATTGCAACTACAGTCAGAATTTTTCCATAAAATAAAGTTCTTGAAAAGTGCTAAACAGATATCTAAGAGCCATTCTGAGTATAACAAATACGTCCCCAAACTTCTTTAACTCTAAAGATTCATTTATTCATTCAATATTTATTGAATGTGTATTACATAATATACGCTAGGTGCTATACTGGTTATTAGGGTGTGTGTGTGTGTGTGTGTGTGTGTGTATGTGTGTGTTGGCAGAGGGTAGTAGGAAAAAAATGCCAGCAAAATTGTACAGAATTTTCCAGAGAAGACCTTCCTCATGTTTTCATTATTACATTAGCTCTTAGAAACCTCACTACTTATACACAATTATGAAGACTCTATTATAATTCTGATGTATGGAAATTATTTTTTCTTTAATAAACAATGATATTTGACACAGGAAATCTGAATCTAAAATGTATCCTTACCTGCAAGTAATTTGAAGCGTTGTGTTAGCCATAATTGTAAGTATGTCTTTTTTTATGCTGAGCCTGGGTGGATCAAGAGAAACGCTAGACAAACCTAGAAACAAATTAAATAAATGAATATAATTGCTACTCAGACCCAATAGGAAACACCTTCCATAAACAATGCACACCCTATACTTTAAAACACCTCTTCAGCAATTCATTGTGTAAAACTTGTGAATTTACTTTTCACCATTCCCAGTAAAAGTTCACAAGCTGTGTCATAACAGGAAGAATGGGCAGATGGTCATAAACCAACACAACAGTTCTGCAATTCATTGAGCGAGGGTGGAGTTCCTGTTTTCCTGCATTGCCAACTTCAAGGTCTTACAAAAGGATATGGGACATTGAAACCAAATGAACCTTCATCTGATGATCTCACTCCCCTGGGAAAGGACCCACTGACATTTCTTATAAAACATAGGATGCACACATTTGACGAAATTGCTGATTAATGAATACTACTTAGAGAGATTTCTATATAGTTCATCCATGTACTTTGAGGGGGGTGGGAATGTCCATGACATTGTCTCATTTTCCTTTATCAATTTTCTAGTGCACTTCCTCTGGTAACTGAACTGCCAAGGTTGAAAGACTGTACATTAAAACTAGATGAGAGGAACTGAGGAAAGAAACATGTTCCCATGTCATATAACATGCATATACTTTCCTTCAGAAAACAGAACTTAAAAAGGGTAATGCAGGACTTCCCTGGTAGTTCAGTGGTTAAGAATCTGCCTGCTAGTGCAGGGGACATGAGTTTGATCCCTGCTCTGGGAAGATCCCACATGCCGCGGAGCAACTAAGCCCGTGCACCACAACTACTTAGCCCCCGCTCTAGAGCCCGCGAGCCACCACTACTGAGCCCACATGCTTCAGCTACTGAAGCCCGTGCACCTAGAGCCCATGCTCTGCAACAAGAGAAGCCATGGCAGTGAGAAGCCTGTGCACCACAATGAAGAGTAGTCCCTGCTCGCCGCAACTAGAGAAAGCTTGCACACAGCTACGAAGACCCAGCGCAGTCGTAAATAAATAATAAAGTTAAAGAAAAAATAAGTTAAAAAAAGGGTAATGCTAATGAATTACAACTGGGGAATCTCAACTTACTGATCAAAGCGCTGAGCTTGTCCTGACACCAAGCTTGGAACACAGGAAAAGTGTCTACCTAAATATACCATGGGACAGATTCCTTGCCATGGGTCACTCTACAGCAAGAAGACTGAGTTCTCTGCCAACTAAATGCAAAGAACTACCAGGTGTTGATAAAGCATCAGAGAAAGAAAAACTGTCCACCATGTCAGGGTCTTAACTCATATCTAGATCTTCAAAACACAACCTTAAAAAGTGATTGATGCTGGGTAAGCACCCAAGCTTCTTACGATCCTTAACTCACATCCACTAAGAACAAATGACTCTCTAGGCCTAAACTGGGATTGACATTGTTGGGCAAATAAAAGAGTATTAGCAAATATGAAAGAGTATGAATAAACAGAGTATGAGCAAATATTCAGTGTAAATATGCACAGCATTGAATCTGTGGACCCCAACGTGAACAGCTGCAGGCAGAATGAACAGCTGATGACTCGTGTTCTCATACGCTCACTCAGATGTGTAAAATAGGCTGCTGTAGATTTGTTAATCAATATTAAAAAAAATTTTTTTAACTGGAAATTACTTTATATCAATAAATCTCAGGAACTAATTGGCGTTGGAACTGCCATGGGTTTGGGGCAGTGGTTCTTAAACTTTAGCACGTGTCAGAATATGCCTAGGCCTACAAATCTGCATTTGTAGGTGACGCGGTCATACATGGTCTACGGGCCACTGTTGGATGGCTATTGGTCTGGGTGGTCATGCTCAGTTAATCAGCAGAGCACTTTTCAATATGAAGGAAATAACTGCTCCCAAAGTAGGTAAACAATAAAGCAAAGTGTTTAAAAGCAAAAGAGAAGTCTTCCAATAAGGGAGCCCCATTTTGTGTCACAGAAGGAAAATGAAAATAATTCATTTGGATGAGCACAGATATCAAACTTGACTGGGAAACACCAGGTTGAGAAACATGTCAAAAACAGTAACTTAATACAATTCCTATGATGACCCAAATGAGAAAGAACCCATTATTTGGGCACATTCATGTGAGAAAAAAATGGTAGTAAAGACTAAGCTCTAATTAAGCCAAGCTCACCCCACCACAAAAATAAAAGATTCTTGAACCTCTCCTGTAAATCACTGCCACAGATTATCTCACACTCTAGACACACTTTCCAATGTTAAAAAAAAAAGGTTCTCCATTCATAGGGAGCCAAAACAACACCATACTATTCTAGAGACATGTCTCCAACAAAAAACTATTCAACAAGGCTATCAATAATGATAACTTCAAATTCATATATGTAGACCAACACTCAATTTCTTTTTGCTCCAATAAGCTTCATTCATTTTCACTGACAAGTTTGAGTTCTGCTCTTCAGAAAGTTCTAAAGAAATAACTCTAAGAAGTACATATGCTGCTACTCAATAAAAAGCTCTTCTATGTTCAAATTCCATAGCCAAAATTAATTCATTTGTGCACTATTACCCTTCCAGCTCAAAGACAGGAAGGAAAAACAACAGTGCCTCTGTCTCTAGAATTTGATGGCATCAATTATAGCCCAATCCAATTAAGCAAGTCACACACTCCAAAAGGGCAACCTCATCATTATATTCAGGGCAGCCCGATTACGGTTACTACTGCTGTGCTATGAAACACCCCAGGCTTAAAAGCAACTCACTTCTTTGTGGGATACAGAACAAACCACAAGTTCCAGAGCTTCATTCTCTCACCATAAAGGGGAAGAGAGAGGTCTTGTCAGGGACAAATGAGTGTTCCTGGTGGAGCTGGCCTGGATGAACCAAGTCGTCATTCAGAAAATTCAGTAACTATAGACAGATGATCTTGTTACCATATATGTGTGTGGGTGTCTTTAAAAAAAAAAAAGACATGTGATTCTTTAATTTATAAGGAATTTTCACCTGAATCATTTTACCTTTTCTTCCTTTTCCACCCTCTCCCCTTTCTCACCCTCCAAAGAGTGGAAATCTGTAAATCAACAAACTGGCTACAGGAAAGAGATTAGAGAGAGATGAGAAAGAGAGAGATAAACAGAGAAGGAAATAGGGCTGGGGGAGAGAGAGAATTTATTGCACCAAGGGCATGCGTGTTCCTAATCTTGAAGGAGAGTGAAATTTTAGACGACAAGGAGAGTGGCGAGTGGCGCCCAACCTAGGTACCAAAACCTTCAGAGCAAGTTTTCAGAACGTGAACTTCTGACCTGTGCTTACCCGAAAGACCAAAGCGCTTTGAAAGATGTTAAACTGTTTTACATGAGAAGGTGACTATTACTTGGAGACACTTCGGGAAGCTGTCACAGCCCCAGGTCCAAGCCCAATTCCCCTTTCTCTCTGCGAGGAGAGCGGCGTCCTGCACCAGGAAGAAGAAAAAGTTTCCCTCTCCCCTAGACCCCACCTTATACACTGGGTGTGTACGTGAGTTCGAACCAAAAGGGAACAGTAGACCGGGTTCCCGGTTCGACTCCTACAGAGGCAGAGCTACGCGCACGCTTCCGTCTGCCGAGCCGGCTCGCGGCCCCCTAAGGGTTTCCTTCCCCGCGTCCTGGCTAGGATGGTGCGCGCAGCCGGACAACGTTTCACCGCGTGTTCCCGCCTGCGGGGGCACCTCCTGCCTGCCAGCCACAGGCGCTTTCCCACTCCCGCCTCCTAAGAGCACGGGTGTATCGGCTCTGCAGGACACGCTGCAGCCCAGGCCCTGTCGGAGGCCAGAGTCGCGGAAATGGAACTGGGCTCAGGAGACCACCAACTCGCTGCGTAATCTTAGGCCAGTCACTGAGCTTCAGTTTCCTCTTTGATAAATGAAAAAACACAGTGTGAAGTCACTTTCACCTCTCCAGCTCTATGACTCCCAGTTAGGTCCGGCCTCCAGGTCCTCTCCGCATCCCTATCTCTCCGCCCGTACCCGACCTTCTCCGCTTTCCTTCTAGGGAGTGGGCTGCTTACCCACAGAGGCAGCCCGGGTCTCCACGCAGAGCCACAGAGCAAAGGCCAGCAGCGCCTTGCTCTCCATCCCGCACCTCGCGCCGGGCGCAGTGCCCAGAACTCGACCGGCGGTTCTCTCTCCCTGGTCCTGCTCCGCGAACAAGGCGCGGAGGTGGAATGCGCGCCGCCGCGCAGGGCTCCGACGCTCTCAGGGCGAGGGTGCCCCGGCTTCGGCCGCGGCTGCAGGGGCGTCTGCGGGTGCCAGCAGGAGAGGGTATCCCGACTGCCAGACAGCTTAGGGCTTTCTGTAGCGGGCAAGTGATACCCCCTGCGGGCAGACGAAACGCAACCGTATACCTCCGGCTCTCCCGGGGTCCCGGGATTCAGTGCTGGGTGGGGAGCCAGAGCCGAAACTCTAGAGCGCGGGGGCGGGGCTATGCGGGGCGGGGCTTCCCTTCGCAGCCGGCCCCGCCCCTCAGCCGGGTTCTGTGAGTGGACCCGGTGCTTCCCACGCCCACTACATCTCCCCATCTCCCCACTTGCACCGGACTGCGTCTGGCCCGGAGTGGCCCGAGGGTGAACGTTCCGGGCGCAACCACTCCATTTCTGAAAGAAAACGTAGCCCATAACGGGTTCTGAGCCACTCCAAGTTTCAGTCGGCGGCTGCCCTCCCGCCCCGAGATGTTGGGGAGCAACACTGGGAGTGCTGCGAGGGACACTGCGCCCTCAGGAGGAGCGCCAAAGTTTGGGACGGTCTTAGCTCTGCGCGCCTCTGAAGTGGCTGGGGCACGGGCTGAGGATCAGCGGCAGGCTGAAGAAACGAGGCAGAAGCGGATACTGAGCAGAGGCGAATGCAGGATCGCAAACTGTGACTACAGCCAGTATGAGTGTTTTGCTTGGCCAGCACAGTTGTAGTTTAAAAATCTGAAACTGAATGCCTTTAGTCCGAATACTCACTTGCCCAGTTCTCCAAAGTTCCCACTATTTCCTCTTACACCTGACGGCTTCAATTGTTTTTAAGTTACCTGCCTCGCCCCCCAAAGCATTTAAATTTGAGACCCTCCCCCTCTTACCTGGCTTTCACCAAAAACCTACCTCAGGCCTCCGGGGAGCTGGAAGTACCCAGGGCTCTCGAATATCCGCGGCGCTTGTGGGTTTCCTTGAGAAAAGGTTTTGTCCACCGGGTTACCCGACCAGGAGTCCGTCGCTTGACGCTTCCCGGGCATTTTCAGAGCACAGCTTCCAGCCAAGCTCCCCTTAAGCCGCGGGGAAGGAGGCCCGCAGCGGCGGGCTTCCCTGGAGACGCAATGAAGCAAAGCCCAGACCCTGTCTCACTCTGACAATAAGACAATGAGTTACTGGCCAGACCCTGGGCACCCAGAACACTCTGTACCAAACCTCCCAACTCTCTCAGCAGGTGTAGATTCCATGTGGCTCTGTAGACTCTCTGTTTCCTTTCTAACTACATTTGTTCTTCTTTTTTCTCCATCTGTCCCCACACCTGGGAAGTGACAGATGTCCCCTAACTTCATTAAATGGGATCTTCCAGATCCCTCCGTCTCTTACTTCGCAGGTGCTTTTAAATGACAACTTAAAGGACCATCCTTCAGGGAGATGAAGAGGTAGAAATATTTTATTTCTACATCTAGTCCAAACTCCTCCTCCTGAAATAGACATTAATGTAAAGTGTTTCTTCTCTTTTTTTTTTTTTTTTTTTTTTTGCGGTATGCGGGCCTCTCACTGTTGTGGGCTCTCCCGTTGCGGAGCACAGGCTCCGGACGCGCAGGCTCAGCGGCCATGGCTCACGGGCCCAGCCGCTCCGCGGCATGTGGGATCTTCCCGGACCGGGGCACGAACCCGTGTCCCCTGCATCGGCAGGCGGACTCTCAACCACTGCGCCACCAGGGAAGCCCTAAAAAATCTTTTTAATATGAAAAGGTTTAGAATGAAAAGTCCTTCCTTCGGCAGAGGCAGGCATTTTTACCTTTCCTTTTCTCCCAAGCAAATTCTATGCACATATAGGTATAAGTATATCATGCTCCTCCTTCCACAAAGGGTACCCTTGGTATAAATACTGCTTGAGTGTTGGCTTTTTTCACTTTAAAATATAACTTGGAGGTCATTCTACATCAAGCTTTAGGGCTCCATCTTGTTCCTTTTCACAGTGGCATGGTGTTGCACTGTATAGATGCACTAATATTTAATCTAGGAGGTATTCGTCAGGGCCAGGGGTATACTTAAAAGAAACTCCTCTCTTCCTGCAAGTAAACTTAGCAAGGAAAACAGGATGGGCTCTGGCAAAGCTGGATAAGGGGGAGGGAGATGGAACCTGGTTTGGAGCAGGCAGTTTTTCTCCATCTCCATCTCCAAACAATTCTTCTCTCTCAGCTTTATTTACAATTCATGACACTTCCTCTTCCACGTCTCACTTAAGAAGATAGTGTCTCCTCTGAATGCAAACCAGAACCTGCAGGCCCATGGTAATAGCCCCCTTTAGAAGTCTTGGAGGAAATGATGCGTCTTTGATGGCCACAAGACCAGAATTTGGCAGGGTCTCAATGAAATCAGTCTACCACATTCCCTCCCACACAGCACTAAGAAGTACCTTGTGTTCATGAAAAATGACAAAGTCTGGTGGGGTTTTTTTTTTTTTTTTTCTTTCTTTCTTTTTTTTTTTTAAGTCTGTTCCATGTGCAACACCCTCCCATTATCTGGCACTGCTGCAAAGGAGTGATTTGTGAGTTAATCAGACAGTACAGGTAAGATCACCATCTATCAAAGTAGGCAAGTGTGTTCAGTGCCCCGTAAATGGTATTCAGACACCTTTGGGGGTGAAGCAGCCAGGAGTGGTGCTAAGTACACAGGGGCCACACTGGCTGGGCTTGCCTCCCAGGTCTACCGCTTTACTATCCACATGATCTTGACCAACTTACTGGTTGCATATCTATGAAACACAAAAGATGATAATAGAACCTTCTCCCTAGGGTTTTTGCAGGAATGGAATGAGTTACTGCACATAAAGCCTGACCTAATACCTAGTAAGCACAAGCACCTAGCACACAGTAAGCACCCAATGCACATTGGGAAACACTGTGCAAAGATTAATTATACTATCTCCTTCACGTTGCTAAGATCTGAATGGTAAATAAGGCTCATTTCTCCAACAACATTTTCTGGTCCCACTACGTGCTAGATATTACAGGAGAGACTAGGGTTACAGTGGTGAACGTGAGCAGAAATGAGCAGTCCTCACAATAGCTCCACCCGGGGCAAATTTAACTTAATCACAGAGTGCTCTGTATCTCCAGCTGTTTCATCGGGCTTTGTGCACAAAGAATATAAATTGTTCATATCATCAAAGCATACTGCATAAATTACACTCCACAGTGCCAACTTTTGTTCCATTGCCACCAGTATTTTGGACTTCATATCTTAAAAAAGTAAATACGAAGGCTAGCAAAAGGTTAATAACTGAGGAAGTTGGATGATGAGTACATAAAGGTTCATTTTACTATTCTCTCTACAGTTACACATTTAAAATTTTCCATGATTAAAAAAACCTGTTTTAAGTAACTATAATCAAAGTGCTGGCCGGTTTTGTATAATACCATTGACTTTTCCATAGTTGGTCTTGACATTACCTCTGGGAAATGGTTGAAGCAGAGAGGCAAGTGGATGGGAACTTGCACTTTTTATGTATTTTCATGTATTTCTATGGCATTTTGTCAAAATGAGAAAGTGTAACTTTTACAAATAAAATATATGGATCAAGATTCAACTCTCCCTTCTAGTGGCTGTTATAGTTTTCAAATATTGCCATTTGTTGATTACATATTTGCACGTCACTTTCTCCTGTTTACTTCCCTTAATTTGTTTCCAATATTTGTTTATGCTCTAACTTACCAGAGCCCTGACTACCTTGCCAGATGTTGGCTGGATTTCATAGCCCATTGTACTCATGACTATCATGCACTGGGAGATCCTGAGCACCCTTTATCTCTCATTATCCACCTTCCTTACACACCTATGTGTATTTTTCTCTCTGTGTGACTTATTTTTAACTTAAACTTAAAACATATTGGTATGTTCAAGGAAAAGAAGGTTTTGTTATCACAAAGCCAGGCTCGCCTTGGATGTTTCTATCAGTGTTTGGCTTCATTCATCAGGTCTTACATTCTAATAAATATAAAACAAACTCCCCATTCTTATGGTGAGACAAATGAAACAGAACTTCGTTACTTGCCACCTGCACAGGAAAAATCTGTTACTATAAATATGCATGCCTATGTGCCCTCCCCAAACTCACCCATATAGTTGCTTGCTATATCTCACAAGGATAAATATAACAATTTTGTAAATTTATTTATTTTTGGCTGTGTTGGGTCTTCGTTTCTGTGCGAGGGCTTTCTCTAGCTGTGGCAAGCGGGGGCCACTCTTCATCGCGGTGCGCGGGCCTCTCACCGTCGCGGCCTCTCTTGTTGCGGAGCACAGGCTCCAGACGCGCAGGCTCAGTAGTTGTGGCTCACGGGCCCAGTTGCTCCGCGGCATGTGGGATCTTCCCAGACCAGGGCTCGAACCCGTATCCCCTGCATTGGCAGGCAGATTCTCAACCACTGCGCCACCAGGGAAGCCCAAAATATAACAATTTTAAAAAGTGGAAAGCATGCAGGGAATTTAAGTAACCAACTGAAAATCCACATAACGCCAGAGAAGGATGTCAGAAAATAATAAAAGTAGCCAACACTCACTGAGCGCATTCTGTGAGCAGGCACTGTTCTGAATGCTTCGCTGCATCCTTTGCTTCATCCTTGCAACATCCCATGATGGCAGCGAGCACTGTTAGCAATTCTCAGTGAAGAAGAAGAGTGAAGACAAGGAATTGCTTATCCTTAAGTAAATGATCCTTTGCCTTCCTAAAAGTCTTGCAAAAAAGAAAAAAAAAAGTTGTTTTATCTCTTTGCAAACAATCAATGCATCGTTTTCTCACCATTAGTTAATGATTGGTTAAAAATCAAGACACTCTTTGTTTTTTTTTTATAATAATAATAATAAGAAGTCGATTTTTGGAGCACTTATTATATGCCAGGTATTTTCTTTCGCTTAACTTATTGTAATGTTTACAATAACTCAGTGAAGATACTATAATTATTTTCATATGGGGGTGGGGGATGAGATTTGAAGGTTTAAGTAACTTTTCCAAAGTCCCACAACTAAAAGTAGTGGAATCAGGACTTAAAAGCAGAGAGGTGGTAAACACCCAAGACAGATTCCTCCAAGCATATAGTTTCTTTCTTTCTTTTTTT